CATACTCGGATTGGACTTTCTAAGGAAATACAATTTTTCCTTGGATTTTAAAAATAACGAATTGCATTCTACATCTGAGGACACATAGCGTTATTTCTCGTTAATGATGAAGAAGTTAAATCTGTCCATAAAATCATAGCACAAGACTATATTACAATACCGGCAAGAACAGAAAGAAATTTTACTTCCTGGATCCATAGCCGAAAATAAAAATAGAAATTTCCGCTACGGCATCATAGAATATCCCAATAACTGTAATATCCCAAAAGGAGTATTAGTAGCCTCAACACTCGTCGACCTATCCAGAACGGTTATCCCGGTGAGAGTCGCCAATGTAACTGAAAAGTCGAGAGTTATTAAGAAAGGTGAAGGTGAAGTGGTTGCAACATGTACTCCAGTAACCAGCGTTGAAAAAAAGAGTAACATCCCAGAATCCGTGTCCTCAGAGAGCATTACATCGGAGTTATTGCAGAATGCACAATTAAACGATAAAGAGAAAAATGCTGCCGATCGCGTCATCAAAGATCTTCAAGTTGCTTTCTCCCGCTCGTCTTCTGACGTGGGTCGAACTAGTTTGACACAACATAGAATAGATACTGGCGATCATCCCCCGATCAAGCAACATCCAAGACGTCTACCGTTTGCTAAACAGGAAGAGGTGCGAACACTGTTAAAAGATATGGAAGAAGGCGATGTCATCGAGCCTTCAGCGAGTCCATGGGCATCTCCCATCGTTCTCGTCAGAAAGAAAGACGGCTCAACAAGATTTTGCGTTGACTATCGCCGGTTGAATGAGGTTACGAAGAAAAGAAAGACAGTTACCCTCTTCCTAGAATTGATGACATTCTAGACACTCTTTCTGGAAGCAAGTGGTTCTCAACACTTGATTTAAAGAGTGGGTATTGGCAGGTAGAAATCCATCCTGATGACCGAGAAAAGACGGCATTTACTACGGGACAAGGACTTTGGCAGTTCAAAGTGATGCCGTTTGGACTGTGTAATGCGCCGGCAACATTCGAACGTCTTATGGAGACTGTTTTGAAAGGCCTTTCCTTACGAAGCCTGTCTGATATACCTGGACGATATCATCATCGTCGGAAAGAGTTTTGAAGAGCATCTAGAAAATCTTAGAAAGGTGCTTCAGAAACTGAAAGAGGCCAATCTGAAGCTGACTCCCGCTAAATGCAAATTGTTTCGAAAGGAAGTGACTTACCTGGGACATGTCATCTCTGCAGAAGGTGTGCGCACGGATCCTGAAAAGGTATCAGCGGTTAAATAAACCTGGACGCGTCCCGAAAATGTCCATCAGCTGAGAAGCTTCCTAGGGCTTTGCACCTACTATAGGAGATTCGTGAAGAACTTTTCTTCCATCGCAAGACCACTTCACAAGCTGACAGAGAGCAAGCAAAGATTCTTGTGGACAAAGGAATGCGAGGATGCATTTAACAACTTAAAGGAAGCTTTAACATCTGCTCCAATCCTGACGTATCCTCAGCTCGACAGACCATTTATTCTCGACACCGACGCGAGCAATGAAAGTGTCGGTGCTGTTTTGTCCCAAGAAATAGACGGCCAAGAACGTGTAGTAGCTTACTGGAGCAAGTGCCTGTCTAAACCGGAGAGGAATTACTGTGTCACAAGGAAAGAGTTGCTCGCCATAGTCAAAGCTGTAGAACATTTCCATCATTATCTATACGGGAGAAAATTCCTCCTCCGCACGGACCATGCCTCATTGGCCTGGCTTTTAAATTTCAAAAATCCTGAGGGTCAAATAGCCAGGTGGATACAGAGACTCCAAGAAATATGACATCACTATCCGTCATCGTAAGGGATCATCACACACGGAAACGCCGACGCCCTGTCTAGAAGACCTTGCCAAGAAAAACTGCCGATATTGTTCCAGGGTGGAAGCGAAATACGAGCTGCTGACTCCGGTCGCAAGACAAATTACAACATCAACATCGGCTGATCGAGACCCGTGGAGTGATGATGAAGTCAGGAAAGACCAGCTGGAAGACCGCGACATTAAACCCATACTTGATTTAATAGAGTCATCAAACAGAAAACCTACATGGCAGGACATTTCTATCTGTAGTCCTACAACAAAACAATACTGGGCACTCTGGGATTCACTTCACATTCGAAACGGCGTCTTATACCGGAAATTCGAAGTCGGATGATGGGAAGACGTTCCGATGGCAACTGATACTTCCAAGATCCCGGATTCCTGATGTCCTCAAAGAACTACATAACAGCCCTACAGGAGGTCACTTTGGAATTATGAAGACCTTACAGAGAGTTCGTGAGCGCTTTTACTGGAATAATGCAAAGAATGACGTGCAAAAGTGGTGCCGATCTTGCGATGCCTGTGCAGGTCGGAAAGGACCGAGGAGAAACGCAGCCGAGGCAGACTGCAACGTTACAACGTAGGTGCGCCTTTTGAACGTATCGCCTTTGACATCCTGGGACCTCTGCCACGAACTGCTGATGGCAACAAATACATACTCGTTGTCATTGATTACTTCACCAAGTGGCCTGAAGCTTATCCTATTCCTGATCAAGAGGCAGTCACAGTAGCTGAGGTAATGATACAGCACTGGATTTCCAGGTTCGGAGTGCCTCTTCAGTTACATTCCGATCAGGGAAGGAATTTTGCCTCGCAGCAGTAATCAAAGAACTATGCAAACTACTTGGCATTGACAAAACTCAAACGACGCCATTGCATCCCCAGTCGGACGGCATGGTAGAGAGGTTCAATCGAACCATCCTTAATAACCTCTCATTAGTGGTTTCCAGAAACCAACAGGACTGGGACAAGAAATTACCACTCTTTTTACTGGCTTACCGCAGTGCTGTCCACGAGACTACCGGCTATTCTCCATCACAGATGCTCTTCGGTCGTGACCTTCGTCTGCCTTGTGATCTATTGTTTGGCCGCCCTCCGGATGCTCCTTCATCGTCTGAGGAATATATTCAAGATCTCCAGGCCCGGTTTGAAGTGAGTGATGCACAATTTTGCACGAGAGCGAGTCAACTTGGCGACGGAGAAGATGAAGACCCGATACGACACAAGAGCTACTGAACATCAATTCCACGAAGGAGACAAGGTGTGGTTGTGGAATCCGACTCGACGGAAAGGACTTTGTCCGAAATTACAGTCACCTTGGGATGGGCCGTACACAGTCCTAAACAGGCTGAATGACGTCGTGGTTCGGATTCGTAAGTCTTCGAACTCTAAACCTAAAGTCGTTCATTACGACAGGTTAGCTCATTACTATGGCCATAGTACATAATGTAAATAATTGTAAATAGTATAAGACCATGGTCCATTTTTGTTTTTAAATGTGTATTTGATTTGTATTTGATAGCATTTGATTTTTTTTATGTATTGCATTTATTGTTCATGTTGTTTATTATTGTAATGTAATGCTTATTAATGCATTTATGCCACAGTTGTAAGTTTAGCTTCCTGTCCAGGGATTGTACTGCCCGGGACGTGCAGTCCTTGGGAAGGGGGCAGTGTTACGAATTTGGTATTTAAAAAGCTAATGTTAGTTCAATTATAAATTAAATGGTTTTATTTCTCGCGCAGTGCAGCGCGTGACGAATATTAAAAGAAAGCTAAGCCGGAAAATTGAAAATACAAGAGCGCGTGCATTAAATAAATAAATATCTCTTTTTGATTTCGAGAAAGTACTGGAAAATTCTAGCGCGTGATTTTAAAATCTTATAAAAGGAGGAAAACATCTCAGTTTGTAGTAGTTTGCTTAGAAAACTACTGTGTTGTTGATTGTAGCGAATTCGCGGATTAGCGTTCTTTAGCTGTTTTGAATTACGTTCTATTGACATTTGAGTAGTTAAAAGAAAACTACTGTGAGATATTGTAATACTGCATGATAATTTGAGAAAATTTAAGCATTTTTGTTGTGATAATAATAAATTTTTGTTCATTTTTCATCGGACTTGTGCATTCATTTCATAACGAACCCGTACGCACGCAACAGTATCATATCATACGTTCAATATTGTTCTATAAAATAGCAAGCACTAATATTACACAAAGATCAATTTTAAAGAATGAATAATTAAGTTTAGATTAAAACTATAATTTTAAAGCAAAATGCATCACAAAAATGTATTAAGACTAATCACAGACAGGAAAAAAAATTTGACAACATACCTGTAAATCCTTCTTAACAGTGTGATAAACAATGTGTAATACATACGATAAAATAAGAAGGAAATTAAAGGAAATAAATAGGATGAAGCAAAAATCACTCATAAAAAAAGAGCACTCTCATCAAAATAAGGCATATTTATAGCTATATAACAAAGATTGAGACAGCCATTAGAAATCTGAAATAGAAGGAGCGAAAAAAAGGCTCACCAATCAGGCATGCACGAGTAACACATGCCTACAAAAGTATTGATAACATTAGTTTGAGAAATAGCAATTGTAATTGAGATAGGCATATAGAATTAATAATGAGATTTAATCAGGAAAAGTAACATAGTTAGATACATTATAATGGCTTAAAATAGAGCACAGTCCTAACACAGATACGGATGCTGAAGTTTACATATTCCGATGAAGCACAAGACTGAAGTCATTACACAGACTGACGCCCAGAGAAAAACTCATCTCTCCCTGTTAGGCCGTAGGGTTGCCATACAGGTTTACTTTCTTTGTTTACTGTTTTGTAGTTTTCTCTAGAGTTTTTGAGTTTGTATCACCTGTTTAGTGCTGCTGCTGCTGCAGAGAAAACACTAACAGCATTTTTATCAACTTTACTTATAAAATTTAGGAATATTTAATTTGACATAGAACACTGCATTGATATGCAGCATTACCTTCTTTCCCTGTCATCTGACACTGCAATAAATTTTATAATTTTATATTTCAGCCTAAATATGTTTTGTACCCTGCATAATGCTGAAACAAAATCTTTGTATGATAACATTTTCTAAGTAAAAAAAGGGGGGAAGGAAAAAATACTTACTTATGAGTTGACGAACATTGTGATCTTCATTTGCAATTTTAGATATCAATGAAACCAATACAGCTTCTTGCTCTTTACCCATGACAGAATACCCATGCTTCTCCAAAATTTCATTAACTTCTTTGACCACTTGTAGTCCAACAGTTTCCATCTTGATTTTAAGCTCCTCAGCACTATTTAATAAATTATTCGTTAAATATCAAAAAATGGAAAATAAAACATCTGAAGTCTATTCAGTAGACTTTTGATTAACTGACCTATGTGTGAAGACTTAGGTTGGATAAATGCTTGCTTAATCCAAGAAAGCATAAAAAATTAGCATTAAGCTGTAAATTAAATTAAAATAGCATGCATATATATATATATATACACATATACAGTACAAAGTTCGAAATCTGGACTCGTCGGGACTTCGTTTCCAGATTTGGGATTTTTCCGGATATTAGATCATCAGGTTAAATCTAGTAAGATGGCATGTAGAAATTATAAAATTAAAAATAGGAAATCATGATTTACGAAATAATGAAGTATTTATGGTTTAAAAGGTATCAAAATTTTAAAAAAAGCTTAATATTTATTTGTTTACCTTATTAAACATTTTTTTCAATGTAAGTTATTAAAGTTGCTTTTTTTTTTTTTTTGTGCTAATGCTTTCTCTTTAATCTTGTAGACATAATCTCTTGTTCAGTTACATTGTTGATTTCCTGTAACTGCTGTGTCAAGAATTCCGACTAACTTGTCAATCGAAATTTTTTCGTTTTCAGTAATTTCTTCACTCTCGGTAGTGGTATTTTCTGGATCTAGAACCATACTACAGATTTTGCCATTCATTAATTGATTGATGACTGAGAAGCATTGTTATCACAATGAAAAACTTCCATTTTTATCATCTTCATTTATTACCACTTCTCCACATTTCTTTACAAAATCCATTAATTGGAAAATTTCACCTTTGTTTTGCGATATCCAAAAACCTTTAAAATTCGTGGCTATCATCATTAAATTTAACTTTCGTTCACTATACATATTTGGCTGTGCATCATGAGCTTTGTGACTAAATGACAAGTTGTTCCGTTAAATTTTATCTTGCTTCTATCGCCTGAGACAACTAAGCCTGAATTGTATTAGTTTAGTTATTATACTTATGTCTATTTCTTGCACATGCTTAAGGCTTATCAGAGCTCTGAACAAATAAATTCCCACATAGACTTAAGCCTTATCAAGGACCGGCACTAGATATCTTACCACCTGATGCAATCTCTGCGATCCGGTGCAGCCATATGAGCCCTGACGCTAGTTCTGGGTTTATGTGAATAACAAATCAGCTATTCTTAATTCAAATAGCCCTAAATATAATCTTTGGGTCTATGAGTATCCTCAATAAAATCTTTTTTTAGCATATGGAAAGAAAATTTTGTTAAATTTTTCCTCGTCAACACTTTTTAGCACATTTGACTTAAATTTGTAATCATTACCAAGTGTAATGTCAATATAAAAGGTTACCATACTCCTTTAGTATTCAATTAATAACATAAAAAAATTGTTTAGGCATTGCTATATGAGTCATTATCCATGTTGTCATGTGTTGATAAACATGCGGTGATGAAAGGAAAGTATAATAAATAATGATTCGCCAGGTTGGCATCAGATCAATGATGTATCTATGTGGAATGTTTTGGTTTGAGATGTGTGCCAAGCAGATAATGATTTGCCAGGTTGGCATCAGATCAATGATGTATCTATGTGGAATGTTTCGGTTTGAGATGTGTGCCAAGCAGATATGCAACAACGGAGCCAAATTACTGATCACACAAATTTAAGCTAAAATGACTGTTTCTTCAATAACAAGGTATTTAGGGTCGAAGTGAAATTGAGAATCGAGATTCTCCAGATGTTTTATTATGCGTGGAGGGGGGAATCAAATGTGCATGCATAATGCCTACGAGAAAAATGTTGGTGGTGGTTTTGAGGTGCGGATTTTACATCATTCCAGATATTGGGCGTCTGGGTTTCAGACATTGTACTGTATATATATACTCTACATAAATACTTGTATACATTTTTATTATTCATTATTTCATTATTTATTTTATTTTTAATTAGTATATATAAAAAGATTTAAATATTTTAATTCACAATTAAAAATTATCAATTTATTAGAACACTAAGTTATGAATACCTGCACTGTGGAGCATCAGCCAATATAATTTGAATGTGCCGTTTCAAATTTTCTTTGACGTCAGCAATACCCTGAATTGCAGGTCCCACATTGGAATAAGTTAAAAGTATCACAGTGGCAGTTAATACCATCACAGTCAAATTGTCTCGCAAAGTTATGAAGCGTTCATGATCTAAGTGAAGAGTCTAAAAACAAATGTAATGGCAATAAAAATTTTAAGCCTGTTTACTTGGAACTCAGAAAAGATGTATATAACATAAATATTTTTTGAGTTTTTCTATTATGAATACATTCAGGAACTCTAATATTTAAATAGACATGCACGCATTAATAATTTTAGTAAATTAAAATATGTTTTTATTGACATAAATAATAACAACAGGGCATTAAACTGAGTATTTGGTATAAAATTAAAAAAAAAAAGCTGATGAAATACTCTATCTGTCAGAACTTTCTATTCCTGAACTAATACTTACATTAACTTATTTGAATATGGTGGTGGTATGATCATAAGGGCTATCAGTCTAAGATGTGGAGTTTTTTGTGGAGAATTTTCTAAGGGAAACTGACTTATTTACAAACTTAACACTTAAAAGTAGAAAATTCTTCAGCATCCAAAAGCATGTTGTTTTAATAGTTACCCACAAATTAGAAAAAATTAACCATCATGAAAAAGACAAAGCTTTAACAAGTGCTAATGAATTATCTGTTCATGGCTTCAAAACAAATAAATAAAATTTTAAAAAAAATTATGAAAGATTTCAGATCTTAACGGTCGCCCAAAAACATTAGTTGAGGTTTTTATACTCTTGTTGAGCTCACAGTCTACCAGTCTGCTGTTGCACTCACTCCTGCTAAACTCTTATTTCTTTTTAGCCCAAAGAAACATTAGTTCAGAAGGGCTACTAATTTCATTTTGGTATTTTGTGTCAATTCACTATAAATGGGGAAACACTTTTGAAATTGTTGCCACCAAATATTATCACCCTGTATTATATTTAAAGAAATTAAATAATAAGGAATTTGCATAAATGTATGTATGTTTCTCACTTTATGATAAAACAACGGTATCTAGAGCCATCAAATTTTAAATAACTTACGTCTCAACCCGAATATGGGCACGTGGAAGCCCAAATTTGGAATTTGTTTTATTATCTACTTCATATTTTGTAAAGCATTTATGAGTTTTTGATTACAAAAATCAACGATTCCAAAGCGAGCAATGGCAACACTGTATGGGGGAGGGTACCTTTTTGTCTTCAGTGTGCGAGACTGAGTATCGGAAATTCTAAACATATTCTATAAATATTTTGTGAATATATTCTATTTGTGAAAATATTCTATAAATATTTTGTGATATTGCTGTTAGATTGAAATTTATGGTTTAAGTGTGAAGAACATGATATTTAATAAATAAAGGTAAAATGTTAAAAAAAAAAAAAAAAAAAAAAGGCTTTTCAGTCTCAGTTTTTTTTTTTTTTTTTTTTTTTTTCAGTTTTGAAAAATCATAGCAAATTTTACTTTGTTAGAAGAAAAAAAAAATTGAATACATATGGATTTTATGTTAAATAATCAATTATTATGATTTAAACCTTTGATATAACCTTCTTCACCAGAATGCAAATTAGTTGTTAGAGTATTTAAATCTAGGTTTTTGAATGTTTTACTGTTACAGCTTGTCACAGAGTCACAGTTTATATTCTGTCTCCAGTGCTATCAGAGATTATTTGGGCATTAGCTATTTTACTAGCTGATGCTAAAAACATGCCACTTAAAATATTTCAGCCAGCTTAAGCAAATCATTTTGTATAGTCTTCAGCTACATTACTTAAAATAAAAATTCAATTTATGTTATTTTAAATACCCACAAGGTGGTTGAGTTTTATTTGTATACACAAGTAGTGCTTACTGTTTAATTTAATGGTTTTATAAAAAGGTTATTTTAACTTTTCAGGATTGTGTCATCTTAATTTAGACTGCAGTAATAACTCACTTGTCAGTCTAGCAAATCTGTTGATTTAAGCTTCTGCACAAGTAAAACTTTATAAATAGTAATGCAATATTTTTAATGTTATATTTCAATGTTACTAACTTTTTATACAACTTAAAAGGAACTTTTAATGTTTCCATTTAAAAATTATGAATTATTACACCTATTAATTTTCTGAATAAATAGTTACAAATATTATGAAAGCTATGTGTAACGTCGTCAGCTATTTTCCCACGGGCTCCCACGAAGTCTGGGAAAAGGAGACTTCAAATGGGCGCCAGATGACCACCCTGATGACACTTACGAATTCTTGAGGTCGAACGTGACCCCCAACAAAGTGCGGAAAGCATATTGTTTTTACGAAAGGAGAAAACTTTCATACAAGTTCTCACGGGTTGTGGAGTGTCCATTGTGTGTATGAGATAGACTGTCGCCAACTGCCTGTTTCTCGAAATAATTTAGATAGACCTCCCAAAAAGACGTTCTGAATTTTCCCACGGAAAATTTCAGTTTCTCAGGCTGTCAAGACAGTATCTGAGAACAATCAGCGCCTGTTAACCAATGGAGAGATGCTCCGAAGAAGACGTTTAGCGAATCACTGCAGCAGACGCACAAGACACGCCCAGAAAACCTGGACATAAAAACAGTGAGTGAAAATAATTAGAGAATTTTTTTAGTCTGAAGGATACGCAGTCGTTGCGTAGAGAAGAGAGAGCCTTTCTCTTGTATTTTACGGCTCTTCCCGAGTCGCTAGTAAGCTTTAGAGAGCCCCTTTCTCTCTTGTGTATTTTTACGGCTCGTCCCGAGTCACTACTAAGCTCTGTCAAGAGCGAAAAAGAAAAAGAAACCCTCAAGGAAGCGTAGCCGGACTTTTTCTCCGCTACCTCTGTTTGAACTCAAGTGATTATCGTTTCCTTTTGGAAAAGGATTATTTTGCTAAGCAAACTACTTTGTTATGATAAGCAGTTGAACTTACCTTAAAATTCAATTTGTGAAATTTAACACTTACCTTATTTTCAATCACGCTACCAATAAAAATTGCTACAGCTAAAATCGCTACAGCTAGAAGGTATGTGTTAATTGGTGGCAGCAGGTGGTTATCGTAAAAACCCAATAGACAAACAAAGACGTGATCGTTTTAGAGAACCATCCCGGTTCTTATCTTCATTCAGAATCAGCCGATTCTAGCAGTAGAAAAGAATTCTTTCGCAGTAAAGTTTGGAGAGTTTAACCAGCAGCTGAAAAGGGATCATCAATGAGAAGCGTTCGTGAAGAATCAACTACTACAAAGACTAGTTCCGGAAGTGCCTGGGAAAGAGTGTGAAGTAAAATTCTCCCTCGGGTGTAAAGACAAGACACAAGAAGTCCAGACAAGAGTGAAGTGTTGTGAATTCGCGTTTTGTGTTTACCACCCTCTGTGCAGTGAAAGTGCTTTTGGTGTTTAGTGAAAGAAGAATCGCCCAGTCGACTATTGTTCAATTGGTTTCCTTCTTCGGTCATTGAATCGCGTGTGTGCAAATAGAGAAAAAAGAAAGGAAAGAAAGAGCTGCTGTTATTTTTTTTGTCTGCAATGGGTAAGTTGATATGGCATTATCTTTTTAAAGAGGCATTTTAATGGAGTTTGTTTTTTGTTTTTTTGTGTATCGAAATTATATGTTTAAATGGTTACTCGTAAATGTTTTGTTTTTTGATGAGTAGAGAATTTTATAATAGTATTTTCAACCTTTAGAAAGCATGCATCAGTTGTAAATTGAGTCAATAAGTATTGCTCTTTGTGACTAATATTCTTTTGCCAATAAGTATTTAGCAAATTTTTTTTTATATACTGCATTAAGTATGGTTATGTGTTAAGCTGCAACAGATTATTTAAGAAATGCTTAATTTACTTTAATTTTTTTTCCTATGTTGCTAATGGTACGTATTTTATGTCATACATACCATAAATTGCATTGCTATATTGTTTTACTGTAGTACTTCTGGATAGTGTGAAACTTTCAGAGTAGACAAACTGGTACCTTTAGTTTTATTTTATTGTATCATTTTAAAATTTTGTCACTGGCAAAATGTCATATCTTGGCAAGGGTAGAAAGCAAGACCTCATAAATCTGTCTGTAGAATTAGGTCTAGAAGTTCCTCCAAATGCAAAAATACAAGATCTTAAAAACCTCATTGTACAGAGCCCTCAGTATGACGAAAAATTTGTCGAGGCAACACTAGAGTCGATTATCGAAGCGAGAATCGAACAACATAGACGCGAAGAAGCCGAAGAGCGTAAACTTGAAAGGGAAAAGGAGAGAGAATTTGAAGTAGAACGTCTAAGGTTGACAAACGCCAATAATGGCAGAGAAAATTCTCAAAATAATATTCCGAGATCTATGAGAGATTTGCAAAATTTAGTGCAGAGATATAATCCCGAATCATCGGATATTTCGCTTTACTTAGCGATGTTTGAGCGTCAAGCTCGCAAAGCGAAGGTAGAGGAAGGAGACTGGGTGTCGCATTTGATGGCTCTATTGCCAATGGACATTGTTTCTATTATTCTACGAGAGCCGGAACAGGAGCTAGATAATTACTCCTACGTAAAGAAAATTCTTTTGCAGCGGTTTAAGTTGAACCCAGAGGCGTTCCGCGTCAAATTTGTTCAACACCAGCGTCGTGCGGGGTTTAGTTTATATAAAGACTTTGCTTTTGAGTTAAAAAACTATCTAGATGAATGGTTAAACGGGGTAGACGTACGAGATTTCGATGCGCTAAAAGACTTAATGTTGACAGATCAAATTAAATGTCGAGTAAACAGCGAAATTCGTGAACACTTCGTGGATGAGTGGCCGAGTATAATATCTTCTGCCGAACTAGTGAAGAAATTAGATGAATATGAAGCAGTACGAAAGTCCGTAAAAAAACCAACAGGTTTTACTAAAAATACCGAACAGGATTCAAATATTAAAGAAAGGAAAAAAGGAGAATTTTCAGATCGAGTACGTCGCCATGATAATGTTTCAAAAGAAAAGACTGCGGAGAAATGGAAGTCAAGTGTTTTCGAAAAAACGGAGAATACCTAGATGTTATGAATGTAATTCAGATAGTCATCTCCGACCTCAGTGTCCTCGGTTAAAAAGACAAGAGGCCGCTGAAGCTGTAAACAAACTAGGCACTTCAGAATCTCCAGATACATGGCTAGCTCCCTATATGAGTATAGCAAGAGTAAATAATCGAGAAATGCCTGTACTCCGAGATACTGGCTCCACTATCGATCTGATCGGATTGGACCAAGTAACACATCAGATGCTTCTAGGAGAGAGTGTGGGTTAAGCAGCCGCTAAATTTACATCCCTGGTGTTTACCCTTGGCTCGAATTGAATTAGAGGGAGAGGACTTTGAGAAAGTCATTACTAAAGCCGCAGTGATTAGCTCCGACCTGAATCAAGAATATTATCTGCTGGGAAATCGAACAGCCCGATTGATAGAACAGAATAAAATGCAGCCCCATAAAATCAATACTGTTATGACTCGCAGTCAAACGAAAGCTTGCAGAAGGAAAGAAAATTCCCCTAGCCAAGGTCCAGAGAACAAAGAAGTTGAGCGCCTCGCGGGGCGAATGAATGACGAGGAGGAGGGTGAAATTTTCCCCGTCCAGTCAGCTAACGTCCGAGGCAAAGAAAGGGTGAAGTGTCCTCGCCGTTCGGAGAACAGGTCAAGAAATGGACAAATCAAGATAACAAAAGCGGTCATTAACCCACGAAGTGCATGGACTTCTTTAGATTTACGAAGAAAGCGAAACATTTCTAAGAAAAAAACGCTGGTCCATCAGGACGAATTTTTGTCTGGAATCCCGGAAGAAGAAAAAACTCGGAAACGGAAAGAAAGAAGTGCAGGAAGACCCCGGAGCGTTTCCATTCACGAGGGTGCTGTTCGGAAATCTGAAACTGAACATCGAAATCGAACAGATAACTGGCAAAGTAGTTTTCAAGATAGGAACAACAACGAATATTTAAGCCGTAAGTGGGAAACCCACAGACATAATGAAAAGCTCGGATAGGTGCGAAAACGCAACCAAAATAAATTGAGATTTTATCTGAATTAGGTACCAATAGGAGCCGAGAACTTGTTTGAGTACAATAATTTTTTGTTTTGTTTATTGTAGTACTTTGTATTTGTATATTGAGTGTTGATCCTTTTAGAATTACTTAGGATTTATTGTGTTCCTTAGCTTTATAGTACAGTTGCAGCCTTGCAACTTTAAGGTTGTTTATCGCCCAGGGAGGCTAAATTAATGCTGATGGGCTGAGTCGTTTCGAATCGGGCGAAACATAGAGTGTAAAGAGGTGATCATGCCAATTTCTTATCTGAATAAGTATTTTGTATACAGTCAAAGTGTAATATAAGAATATATCATCAGTCATTTTGTCCCTTTGTTAAGAATATTTGTGATGTGTATGTATATATATATATGTGTGTGATTCTGATTTTAAATATTCCATTAATTCTCGCCTCTAAAGTTAATGCCTTATTGACTTATATGTGAACTTTTCAATAGTGACATTACTAGTACTGTTATTAATCAATGTAGCTGTGTTCCTGTATAGGTGTGTTTGAAAGTGTTATCGAGAGAACAGTTTATTTCGTGTCATTTTTTAAGTTAGTGCAATGATGAGGAGAACTTTCCTCTTCGTTTCAACTCGAGAAAAGTTCTTCCGAAGGGGGAAGGAATCTATAGCTGTAACGTCGTCAGCTATTTTCCCACGGGCTCCCCACGAAGTCTGGGGAAAGGAGACTTCAAATGGGCGCCAGATGACCACCCTGATGACACTTACGAATTCTTGAGGTCGAACGTGACCCCCAACAAAGTGCGGGAAAGCATATTGTTTTTACGAAAGGAGAAAACTTTCATACAAGTTCTCACGGGTTGTGGAGAGTGTCCATTGTGTGTGTATGAGATAGACTGTCGCCAACTGCCTGTTTCTCGAAATAATAATTTAGATAGACCTCCCAAAAAGACGTTCTGAATTCTCCACGGAAAATTTCAGTTTCTCAGGCTGTCAAGACAGTATCTGAGAACAATCAGCGCCTGTTAACCAATGGAGAGATGCTCCGAAGAAAGACGTTTAGCGAATCACTGCAGCAGACGCACAAGACACGCCAAGAAAACCTGGACATAAAAACAGTGAGTGGAAAATAATTAGAGAGTTTTTTAGTCTGAAGGAATACGCAGTCGTTGCGTACAGAAGAGAGAGCCTTTCTCTTGTATTTTACGGCTTGTCCCAGAGTCGCTAGTAAGCTTTAGAGAGCCCCTTTCTCTCTTGTGTTTATTTTACGGCTCGTCCCGAGTCACTACTAAGCTCTGTCAAGAGCGGGGAAAAAGAAAAAACCCTCAAAGGAAGCGTAGCCGGACTTTTTCTCCGCTACCTTTTTCGACTTTGTTTGAACTCAAGTGATTATCGTTTCCTTTGGGAAAAGGACTACTTTGCTAAGCAAACTACTTTGTTATGATAAGCAGTTGAACTTACCTTAAAATTCAATTTGTGAAATTTAACACGTACCTTATTTTCAATCACGCTACCAATAAAAATTGCTACAGCTAAAATCGCTATACTATGGTATAATTTAATACAATTAACACTGTTGAATATAAAATGATACAGTTATAAAAGCACATATTTACCAATTTGCCTCAGGTGAAAAAATACTTAGGCACAGAGCTGAGAGCAGCAATATGTATACATATGGTTCCCTTGTCAGAATTCAATTTAATAATTCAGAATTTTGAGTTAAATAACTGAACTTATTTCTCACATAACTCATTTTTTTATTAATTTATGATTCAACAGATAAAAATTGTTTATCTATTCCAAAGTTACTATTTTTGGGGCAATCTCTTTAAATTTGAATATATTAAATTATTAACAAAATTTTACCTCTAAATATAATACTGCACAAATCACAAAATTAGAAAGTATATTCCAAATATAATTGCTCTTCCATAAATTAAATGAAATATTAACCAAAAATAACATAGCAGTAAAGAATTAAATAATAAAATTTATTCTCACCTCAGGAAAGTTTTCAGCTTCCTGCCACCTTAGAATTTTTAAATATGCTTTCCTCAGAACAAGTGAATTTGGTGGATCTGTACCATCACTTTCACCATTTTCAGATAAAATATCACTGTAAACATTCTGCAGCCACAACCTTGTAAATTTTAAACCATCCACAGGAGGAGATAAACCTTGAAAAAGATCACATATACAGCTCTTTATTTACTATTTCACGTGGTTAACAGCTTCAAAAAATTCCCAGGATTTCTATCCATTTTCTAAACTTCTGATAATGGAAACATTTTAACTACACCACCTTATATATATATATAAAGATATGAAAGTGCTCTTTCACAATCGCAAATTCATGTCAATATGTTTGTACAATAATTCAAAATATCCTTAAAATATCATTCGTATCATATAATTGTTTTTCTTTAGAGGCAGTTTTTATAGCGTTCAACACAGACAATGTGCTTTATAAATGGGCCTTTATCCAGGATCAGAAATGAATCAGCGTACTTAGTAACTTCATTGATATTAATGATAAAAACCCAATAATAGCCAGGGGAGAAAAAAAGAAAAAGAAGAAAAAACTGTGAAAGACAAAACAGAATGTGTGTGCCCTTTAATATTATCTGTTGATGTAAAGGTCTACATTTTTAGAGACAGGTAAAAAAAAAAAAAACTACTACCATTTGCAATTTAAGTGACAGAAAGTGTAATGATTTATAATCAAGAACAACCAATATTTGCATGCATTGACTGGTAAAGCATCAAATTATTGGACAGCTAAGAATTAAATCTTTCTGTTCAACCATACTCCAGCACAACATTCAATTTTTCCTCACAATTATTTGAGTAAAAACACGCAACAGTATTCCTATACGCTCTTATTCACTAGATTTTTAACTGCATGATTTTTACCACTTCTCAAAGATCAAAATATAACATTTCTGTGATGAAGATGGTATGTAAATAGTAAAGAATTACATAAGATAACATATACTATCAAAAATTTCAAAGAATCAAAGGATGTTAGGCAATGAACAGCACACAAAAATTTCATTAATAATTTAACAGTTAATCAAATTTGGCAATAGTATGACAGAAGAAGGATAAAATGTGCATATATTAGAAAAAATTTAAAGATGCCTGTGATTAATACATTTTCATATCACCAAATTTGATAGTACACCATTAATCCATAAAAGTATATTTCATTATTAATCTAATATATTTTAGTCCTTAACTAAAAAAAAAAAAAAATCATAATTCATACACTAAACATTTCATCAATGAAATCTGAAAGATTTTTCTCAGCTATGTATATCTGATTTTAATCTTTACTAGATGTACATTAAATTAAAATTTCTTTTAGCCTGATTTATATCTATACCTAGTAATCGCACGTGGTAATCATTTAAAATGATCTGTACATTAAACAAACTATTATTTGGCATTTCAATGTTATAACTTATATATCACAAAATATTTCTATATACAGATTACTTTAACACAGAAGAAAATTCTACTGTAATAAATGTTAAAAAAAAAACCAAGTATTTTGAAACAAATATGTATACCTTCTAAAGACTGCAGAATTTCTTGAAATTTTTTCTTTTCATATTCTATTGAATGTTGTTGAATATGAGGTCTCATATGAGAAATAGTGAAGTTTACCATATCGAGCTTCATCAGTTCTAATGTTTCTAAGATACCTCTGAAAGCAATTAAAAATTATTATTATAAAATTGTTTTTTAAAATACTAGATAAAATATATTCAAAAATTACTGAATGTTTACATAAAGACTACATTTTATAACATGATGCTGTAATTATGTACACACTGATTATATATAAAGTGAAATAAATGTTTATTACACTCATTTTACACAATAGTTAATGTACAACAGCAGGGAATCCATCTGTCCATCTTGAATCTCATAGTAATGGGGAAGGAGGAATCTGAGATGGTATTTGAAGTTCTTATACTTCTATATGTATAAACATCCTTCCTCAGAAAAATTCCAGGACAATTTTTTTTCTTATTTCTGACATTACAATACTAAAAAGGAACAAATGTTGTTTTCATGTTACTTGGTATGTATTCTTACTTGACATGACCTAGGCCATGTTTCCACGCTACTAGGTGGCAAGGCTGTGCTTAGCAACACACTGTTTGGATTGTTATCTAATTCGTTAAGGTGACACAATGTTTGCTGATTGTAAGCAAAAAGTAAACATTTAGTTCTGCATTGAGCTCAGGAAATCCCTTAGTGAAACATGGAATATGATTAACCCCTTAACTGCCGCGGGCGTATATATACGCCTTGCTCAGACGATGCGTTAACTGCCCCCCAAGATGCGCAGCCGATGCGTTAACTTTGCGAATAATTTTAGGTGTAGCAGCGCAAAGCAAATGATAGCAGTTTGGAAGGACGTATATATACGCCTGGGGCAGTTAACGCATCGGCTGAGCAAGGCGTATATATACGCCCGCAGCAGTTAAGGGGTTAAGCATGAATAATGGAGGTGACGCATTTTTCAAAAAGCCATTTTCGAGTGGCAAAAAAGTTTTTGTGAAGGCAAAGATGCAGTGCAAGACAATCCCAAAGCTGGTCGCCCATCTATAGCATATACCGATGCAAACGTAGAGTGTGTAAGGCAGTTAGTTATTGTAAGAATACCATCGTGTAACTGTGCATTGAATCGTGATGTGTGTCATAAGATTTTACATGAAGATTTAGAGAAACAGAAACTAAATGGAAGTTCTGCTAAACTATTGGATAGAGCAAGACTTGATCTCATACTTGTGTCAAACATGATTCTGATTTTTTCTTGTTTCCGTGAGTGAACAGGTGACTGAAAGGAAAGTTTTTACAAGATTATTACAGACATCCAATGGGCTGTGACAAATGTACTTGCAAGCATTGCAGTTGAGGATTTCCCTGCTTGCTTCCAAGATTTCCAGAAACATTGGCAGTTGGGGACTAGTTTGATAGGAGAGCAGATCATTACTTGATAAATGCAATTTTCTATTTTTATTACCTTCGTCCGGGAACTTTTCTGACAAAGGATGCATATATATATATATATACTGTACAAATATGCATTTTATTATTACTAATACATATATAGGAAATGCTTCAAACTACTACATTTAATAATATCTCTACAAATGGGGTTTTCTGCAATTGCTCAATTTTCTGAAGGTTAGCAATAACAAGAAATCCATCTTGATTAATATTTTCCTGAAATGAAAAGATACCAGCTGGTAAAACTACTAGCTGAAAAGCTACCAGCTCTCATGCTTGTAGCAAAATTACCTTCAAATGCACTTATTGCAGTTTCTTCTACTACAAGAGTTTTGTAATATGTTTCCTCGTTCACATTGCACTTCCAAGCATGGAATGGTTCACTTTCACAGAGCTATCAATTTAATGTAACAGAAAATTTGTCTAAATACTAAGGCCATTTCCTGCATTTATCTCTACACACAGGTACAGCTACATATAGCAAAATAGATAGTTATGCACAGTCATATTATCATTTGCTCAAAAAATAATAAAACTTGTATTAGTTGAATTTGGCTATTAAAAACAGCATTAATGTACACCCTATAGAAGAAAAGCGACACCATGCAGGACTGCATAATTTGTGTTGTAGAGCAAAAGGAATTAAAACTTTTGAGCATTTGTTTACTATCTACAAAGGCATGTATTAAATATCATGTGGAACAGTGTAGTTTATGCTTTAGTGAAAACTGAATTAAAACATATCTTTAGATCATTAAGTGAGTGCTACATTTTGAGGAAAGAAGCTTGGATTTCTTTGGTTAGAATAGATCCTTATTTGCAAATTTTTAATTCCATGACCTTGCTGTTTTCTCTTAACATAGTTCTACAGCATGAAGATTTTAAGAGAATTTATACTCTCTGAAATACTACTGATGGCCATTTTATAATAGTTACTTTGAAGGTAGGTACATAATAACTTTTAAATTTCAAATAAAATTGCTTGATAGAATGTTTTTGGGAAGGTTTTGAACACTGAAGTAAATCACCCTACATAGTGATTAAAATAAAATATGTATTAGTTCTCTTAAAATATGCTATTTAAAATCAATTAACAGTATTCTTTATATTGATATAACTATATGATAAATTATATAATAATGTGCCACACATCCAAAGATAAAAGTGCCACACATCCAAAGAAAAGCCACATGTATACATAAGAAAATTTTAACTAAGCAGTTTCTAACATGCCAAAAGTTGCTGACAACTAATATCATGTTACCTGTACAATGGAACAATTTCAGTAAGCTTCCTTAGCTCTTGTATATTTGGGTCCCTAGCAGGAGCACAGATGCGAGACATAGTAGAAATAATGAACTGAGCATAACTTAACACATCAACAGCATCCTTTTCAGCTTGCTGCTGAATAAGTTCAATATCCAAGACTTCATTTATTTCATTTTTTAAACGAGAATTATGAGGTAAAAGCAACCATAGCAGGATCTAAAACAGGAAAAATTAAATTCATAGTCATGTATACACACACAAACAATAAATTAAAAAAAAGAAGGAAAAAAATTAGCATATGGAATTATGATTTTACAAAATAAAAGATTAAGCAACAGCATAATGAATAATATGATCAACAATAAAAGAATAAGAATCTCACTAAATTTAGCTGCATGCAGTATATGGTACCTTTATTTTTATTTATTTCTATTTTTAATTAATTAAAACCATTAAAGAATTTTATAAATTAATTTATCACTTGAAGAGCATTCTTGAGATATATAAAAATAAAAATTCCCTTTGTACAGTGTAACCGTATCCAAACCATGTTTGATCTTAATTCAGATATCAAATAAATGTTTCTTTATTGTATGCTGAAGAACATTTAGTTCAAACATAAATACATTTTCCCACAGAACAAAAGATGTTTCCAGAAGATCACTGTTAATTGAAATGATGTGAAGCAAAGGATTTGCAACACTAATTTATACAAGAGGAAGTTTTCATATGAGTATTCCCAAGAGACTCTCCTTATCCAAAAAAAAAAAAAAAAAAAAAAAAAAAAAAAAACTATCAAACACCATTTAATTCCCAAAATAAAGCTAAAAGAACGAATAATATGAAACATGCATAGTCTGTTGAACATAAATATCATATATGTAGTATAATTTTATTTTACAGAACAGCAGAGTTCATTAGACAACTTGCAGATGGTAGCATGACAATGTTAATTAAGCTGGGTGATTCAATAGAAGATGCATAGACCAGTATGTAGAAGCAACGGGATGAAGATAACCTATTAATATCTCATTATCATTCACACCCATCAAATTAATTCATCCATAATTAAAATTAGTAAAGAAACAACCTTGTAAATGGCATAGATTTTATCAAAAAAACTAATTATCCACAAATTTCTGTGCCTGCTTACAACAATATAATTCAAGGTCTATCATATATGCTGATCTAATGCTTGATATGAAAGGCTTGAAATATAACAGCACACATGAATACTTGGACTGACACATTATTTCTCTCATTAAGCTCTTCATAAGCAATCAAAACACTCAACAAAGCTGCTTTACATCTGTATATTCTTTTCTATTTAGCTAGATTTCATACTTTCTGTCATACTTTTCTGTGATCTTGCGTAAAACAAAACGCTGAATCTTAGTTCTGCTTTCCATCACAAAAGCAAAAAATTCAATTCAGATTTTGTAGGGAAAAGTGAAAAAGGTGTGAATATGTGGAGCAATTCATAACGGAGGCGATGAGGCTGTACAACTCCGACGTTAGTTTCCCCCTCACCCCCGCTAACTGTGATTGGACTTGATCAAAAAAAAAAAAAAAAAAAAAAGAAGGAGAAACATTCTCTCCTTGCATGACTCTTTTCTAGCGTTATACAATAGACAGTAAACAACACTTGTAATCATCGCTATATTTTTTTTTTCTTCTAATACCTAATAAATATGTATTTTTGTGTTTGCTAATATAATGATCGTGTTCCTTACCTCTGCAGCTTGGATTACACTTTATTAAGGTAAGAACTTTAATTCTGTTTTATTCATCTGCTCGTCTCGATTTAGCGAAGTTGTAACAGTAAAAACAAAAATGAACCACGATTACCTTCAACAAAAGATTATGAGACGAAAATATGTTTACTTCAAACTAAACGCATAAAATATATCGAATAAGCCATTAAGAATAAAAAACAGAAAAGATACTTTACCATAAATTATCGCTGGATAATCCGAAAAAGGAAAAGCCAAGCCTGTCTTCAAAAGCGAAACAAAACTGCATAGTTGCGTATGCGCATTCGAAATACAGAAGCAGAAATGGCTACTAGCTGCGAAAATAAATATTCGATCATGAAACTAAACAATAACAACTATCAAGTATGGAAATACAAATTTGAAATGATCCTGAAAAAGGAAAATTTATGGGATTTAATAGCAGATGATACACTAAAAAGAGAAATAAACGTCGAATGGAGAAAACAGATGAACAAGCACAAGCTACCATTAGTTTACTCGTAGAAGACAACCAAATCATATACATAAGAAATAAAATGACAGCCAAAGAAATATGGAATGAATTAAAGAAAATACATGAAAGAAAGAATCTTTCCAGTAAACTTTACCTTCTGAGAAAGCTGTATACGTTAAAAGCAGAAAACGAATACAAACTCGAAGAACACGTCAACAAAATGCTCGAAATCGTAGACGAACTGCGAGGAATCGGTGAAGAAATAAAGGACAGTCACATTGCAGCGCTCTTACTAAGCGGCTTATGAAAATCTCATTACAGCTTTAGAAGCATGCCCAGAAAAAGAACTAACGCTGGAATACGTAAAAACGAAACTCATCGACGAATACCTGAGAAGAAAAGATGTAACGCGAGCAGAAGAAACAACTGCCTTCAAAACGAATTTTAACACAAAATTCAAGCATTTAAATCAAAGAAGATGCAATTATTGCAAAAAAATAGGACACTTAGAAAAAGAGTGCAGATCTTAATAACCCAAAAAAAAAAAAAAAAAAAAAAAAATAAAAACGAAAGTAAACTCATTTTTCAAGAATGAAAAGCAAACAAATAAAGGAAATTATGGAAATAACAGAAAACGAAAATTGCTGTAAACGAGGATACACATGAAGATGAAAACGAAATAAAATCATGAGAAGACTGAGAATTACACGTTCGAATTCACCAGAGAAAGAAAATCTCAAAACTCAAACTGGTCAGTTGACTCAGGTGCTACTTGTCATATGACCGATAACATAAACTTTTTCACCAAACTGGATAGAAGCAAAACTGAGCAGATAACAATTGCTAATGGCACGCAGATGAAGTCCAAAGGTATAGGAGAAGGATACTTATACTGTACAGACGACGAAGATAACAAAATAAAAGTGAGACTCGGACATGTTCTGTACGTTCCTGACCTAGAAGAAGGATTGATATCCATACGAAAAATTACAAAGAAAGGATTCACAGTTGAATTTGAAGAATATATTTGCAGAATAAAGAAGAAAAATAAAACCATAGGAATTGCTAAAGCAGAAGGAAATTTATACACCATAGTTGAATTGCAAAGAAGAAAAGCCAAAATTGCAACTGCAGAAAGAAGAGAAAATAGTATAGAACTTTGGCATAGAAGGCTAGGACATAGAATTATGAAGCAATCAAGAGGCTAAAATGATGACCTGGCAACCGAAATAAGAATTGAAGAAGAAGCCAAAAAGGAAAAAGAATGCGAATGCTGTATCAGAGGCAAAATGACTGAATTGCCGTATCCCAAGCTAAACAACTATAGAGCAAAATCAGTTCTAGACTTAGATATCTGTATAATACACTCAGATATCTGTGGGCCAATTGGTACAACATCACTAGGAGGAAAGAAATACTTCATAACATTCTTCGACGATCATTCGAGATACACAACGATCTATCTGCTAGCTACAAAAGATGAAGCTATCTCCAAGTTAAAACAATTTGTAACCATGACGAAGAACAAATTTGGAAAGAAGCCAAAAGTCTTAAGAACAGACAATGGAGGAGAATATACAAGCAAAGAGATTGAAGAACTATTCTAAAGGAAGAAGGGAATCGAACATCAAACCTCCGTAGCATATTCACCGCAACAGAACGGTAGAGCAGAAAGAAAAAATCGATACTTAAATGGAAATGACAAGATGCCTGCTACTCGATTCAGGACTCAAAATAGAATTTTGGTGTGAAGCCGTAATGACAGCCACCTATCTACAAAACAGGCTACCATCTAGATCAGTTGGAAAAAGCACCGTATGAGGTCTGGAATAATAAAGAAGCCAAATTCTAAAGCCATATCAGTGTTTTCGGCAGCACAGCTTATTGTCTAGTTCTAAAGCAGAAAAGAAGCAAACTAGATGAAAGAAGCAGAAAAAGGAATTCTTGTTGGATATAGTGACCGTACCTAAAGGATAACAGAATTTACATGTCGCATATACAAACAACGTTGTGATCAGAAGAAGCATAATATTCGACGAAAACAAAAAGGAAGAAAATGCCTCATCAATTAAATGATCAGAATGAGGAAGTAGAATGGCCTTTCAAAGAAAATAAATTCAAGAGAACCATGTCCAAATGATATTACAACAGAAGAAAGGAATTGAAACAGAAGAAATTCCCCTATTACCAAGAAGATTCCCAGAGAACGATTAAGGGAATCCCACCAAACAGATTCTCATACATGGTTAAGAATGAAGAAACCAAAGTTCCTAAAGACTAGCAAGAGTTGCAAATTTTTCCTAGCTAAAGAAAAGAAACTGTGATTAAAATCTACAAAAGAAGAAATAGAAGCACTGAAGAGAAACAAAACATGGGAACTAGTCGATCTTCCATAAGGAAAGAAAGCAATTGGAAACAAATGGACATTTAAACAAATCCGATGCTTCAGGAAATATTATAAGATATAAAGCTCGTTTAGTAGCTAAAGGATATTGCCAAAAATTTGGGCACGACTACGACGAAACATTCGCACCAGTCGTAAAGTATACAACAATAAGGACTATTTTGGCAATAGCAGCTCAAAAGAAAATGCACGTAAATCCCTTCAATGTAAAAACAGCGTTTCTATATGGAGATCTGAAAGAAGATATATATATGAAGCAACCAGAAGGCTACATCTCTGCTTCAGAAGCAAATAAAGTCTGTAAAACTGAAATAAAAGTATCTACGAACTAAAACAGGCCCAGAAACTGGAATCACAAGATAGCTGAAATCCTGAGCAAACAAGGATACGTTCAAGGAAAGCCTGATCCATGTTCCTTCACACTAATCGAAAAAAACGCAAGAACTTACATAATCATTTACGTTAATGACATATTAGTCGCGAGCGACAAGTGTGAATCAATTCAAGAAGTTGAACGAATTCTCAAAGAATATTTCGACATTCGAAATCTTGGAGAAGTGTCTACATATCTAGGAATTGAAATCGAAAGAGAAAAAGACGGAAACTTTAAACTTCATCAAGCTAACAAGATTAATAGTATGATCGAAAAATTTGACGGAGAGTCACCAGGAAGAAACTAAGCTATACACCCATGACTACGAATTTACGAAGAACCAAAACAAGCAGGATGACGTTTTTTCCCGATAATCGGAAGTATAGGGAGCAGTGGGGCACTTTTATATTTAGCAACAGTATCGAGACCTGACATAGCAAATTCTGTTGGAATACTTAGCAGAAAAGTAGAATATCCATCAACATCGGACTGGAACGGCATCATTAAATCATACGATATCTGAGAGCTACAATTAATTACAAATTACATCTAAAATCCATGATGCACCAGTCATCAAGCTGACAGTGACGCTGGACTGGGCAGGAGATACCTCTGACAAAATCCCATCCGGATATATTTCAAATAGGAACAGTACGGTATCATGGGGAAGCAAGAAACAAATTGTGTCGCCCTATCTTCGACAGAAGCCGAATACATCGCTCTAGCATTTAACACTTGCAGGAGCTACAATGGATTAGACAACTGATGGGAGATTTAGGGTTCGCTCAACAGGAAGTGAAACATCGTATCGAGGACAATATATCATGCATAAATCTTTCCAGAAAAGAGAAAGGAAGCATTACAAAACCAAACACATCGATGTGAAATATCACTACGTATGTGATCTACAAAATCAAGGGATTGTTAAATTAATACACTGCAACAGTAAAATGATGTATGCAGACATGTTCACGAAACCTTTGCCGAGACAACAGCTGGAATTTTTATTAAAAGGAATCGGCCTTACTTCGGACATAACAGCTCATCGAGCGGGAGATTGTGGAGCAACTCATAACGGAGGCGATGAGGCTGTACAACTCCGACATTAGTTTCCCCCTCACCCCCGCTAACTGTAATTGGACTTGATCAAAAAAAAAAAAAAAAAGAGAGAAGGAGAAACATTCTCTCCTTGTATGACTCGCTTCTCGCATTATGCAATGGACAGTGAACAATGCTTGTAATCATCGCTATATTTTTTCTTCTAATACCTAATAAATATGTTATTTTTGTGTTTGCTAATATAATGATCGTGTTCCTTACCTCCGCAGCTTGGATTACACTTTATTAAGGTAAGAACTTTAATTCTGTTTTATTCATCTGCTCGTCTTGATTTAGCGAAGTTGTAACAGTAAACAAAAATGAACCATGAATACCTTCAACAGAATAGAGCTTATTCTTAAAAGCAAAAGGATATCAAGCAAACACTCATAAACTGGTTGATATCCATATCTACATAACAGATAAAGTAATCATTTCATTGATTTTCCATATATTAAATTACCTTACAGCTATACATGTTTAAAAATTTTAAGTATATTTATATCCAAATATGATTTATTTAAAATTTCAGTAACTGTCATTTTTTTTTCCGTGTGTGTGTGGAGGAGGGGGAGTTGATTTTAAATGAAAACTGAATTGCTATGATTTCAAGAATTTGAAACACTGATGGTTATAGTATTTCTTCTTTGGAAGAAATTTCAATGTAATTTGTTACAGACATAAACATTTATTTATTTTGTTCACAATTATATAAATTCCAAAAGTCTCCAGTACAGCTCTTTAAATTGTCATTATTCTACTAAATTTCTCCCTAAAAATATCACTTGCTTGTCTCATAAAATGCAATGAATCATAAAATCATTCCATACAACTGTCAAACTTCTCAGTAATATCTAATGAATAGGTGTATTATTATTTTCTGGAAATATTATTGGTTAAAATATTCACCATGCAATTTACCTCTTTGATTTCACTCAAAAGCACCATAGCTTGACGGTAATGAGGAGGAGTACTGGATAACTGTTCTTGAAGTATACTCCAAAATGCATTATGAAATGTTTCTGTCACTTTCTTTTCCAAACTGCAAAAGTAATGCACTAAAATTTTTTCAATTAAAAAAGCATAGTTTCTCTCACCTAAATTTGAAAATTGAATTTGATGAATATTTTTTTGCATGCAAAAATCCACTATGTTTCTAGTTGTATTGAAAATTCTGTAAAAACATACTCACTTGGTTGTAGGGATACTCTGTTGCAGTTTAAAATCTTTATTTACAGCAATCTCATGAGCTAATGCCATGTTAAAACCAGATTTAGACACATCTTCTGCAGCTTTTAAAATTTGTTCCATTGACACAAAAGATGGTGGAGAAGCTAATAATAATAATAAATAAATAAATAAATTCTTATTATTATAACAGAAATGAAAATTATAGCTAAAATAACTAAAAGTATAATTATATACATTCTAAATGTTTGTAACCTTAGTTATTTTTAATAACTAAAGTTATAAATAATGCAGTTATATATATTCCAGTGCACTAAGCATAAAAGTATTTAGTTTCTCAATTAGTTTTGAACAAATATTGCATGTTTTGCAACTGCAAAATTAATAATCTGATTTCATAATTTAAAATATTTCATTAATTATAATTAAGCTAGTATCAATCTAAGAAAAAAGACAGTTTTAGTTTACTCTTAGTAAAAATTGATTTTCATTGCACAACACTATCAGGTATAGATGACCTGTGCACATTATGTTTATAACTTTGTCCAAATTTTATATGTCATTTTTGTACATTTGGGCTACAAGAAGTGGTCAGCTATGAGATGCTTATGTGAGCCATTTATTAGTTTTTTTATCTAATCTGAATGCCCCTTGAACTTTCTGATTGCAGAAGAAACTACTCCCATTCCCATATCTAATTAACATGCCCATATACAATGCCCTATTATACTGGCCTGTATATAACTAAACATTTTAAAGAGAAAAGAAGCAGTCAAGGAGGTAAGAAGTAAGTACGATTGTACTAAAAGTAATAAATTAGTGCAAAGTGCTGCTAAACAAGGGAGATTAATCTTTGCAAATTTACTTTCTTAATTTTTAATTTCTACATTCAGATCAATGTCTTAGTATCTTAGATTTTTATTTTAATGTTTTTCATGTATTACAATACTTGGTAAAATTCATGTCTTCTTGCTGATAAGTTGGATCACATCTTCATTAAACATTTTAATTTACATGGATTTTCTGAAAACTATTTAAAAAAAACATTTCACTGTATTTTGTTCTGATGGAGCCAGTATATGTGTGTGTGTGTGTGTGATTATGGCAAAGCCTTGAAGGCTATCTGCCTAAGGAGAGGGATGCCTTCGTGGAGGACTTTCTAAGGGGAACTGGCTCGTATACACGTTACACATGGAGAAAACCATGAAAACGTCCATGCAGCCAGCCCGTTCGCGGGATTCGAACCTCGGACCGAACTACCAGTATTCAGCGACTTTACCGCTCAGCCGCTGGTGGGCCCTGGAGCCAGTATAAAGTTAGGAAGAAAATCAGAAATTACAATAAAATTTTTATAAAAGTTTCATAACACTTAACATGGTATATATTCATTGTTTACAATTAGCATTAGAAAATTTAATTAGGAATATTAATGAAAGGATCATTTTGAAATATTTCTTGATACATTATATGCTTTTTATCACCCCAAACTAGTGATAATTGAGATTCATAATGATCTGGGCAGTGAAATATTAAAAATCAGTTTCATGCTTAGACTACAAAAGGTAGCATGAAATTTATCAACAGCTTTTGCCATGATAAGGAATTATTCAGCTTGGTGTCATGCATTTTGCATCATATGCTAATTTGTTTTTTCAACTGACTTCTAAACTTTTAATTCTTAATAGACCTGGCATTCGCGATCGACATTCCTGCAGGAATTATCATATTTGATATTTTGTTATTAATTTTTTTAATATTTCTTGTTTATACACAATCATTCATATTTTATATTTTTGTATGAACTATAACATTCATTAGAATTTGATGCTTTGTTTTTCATAGGATGAAGTACAAAATCTTTATTAAAGCTTCTAAACTAAGCTCATCCCTGGCCACAAGTATCTAAACATAATCAGATGACTTCTATGATATTATCTCCATTTACCTCAGACAATTTGAACATGTATGAAAAATTTTAAAAACATTAAAAAAATTTTTTAAAAAAAAAAAAAAAAAAAGCAAAAAATGTTTTTGGGGGAAAAACAAAAGGAAGTTCAGCTTAGGAGAAATGAAATAATGATTCTTTGTGGAAAACTGACGAAAGTCCTGTTCTATACCCTGTGTATTATTTCTTTCCATCTTAATAAATTATATTCTGTTTTTGATTACATTGTTCTGTATTGTATTAAAATTACCATTAAATATTATTTCATTAGTATTTACAAAAGGTGTCAGAATTTACTAACACAAAAAATCGCACTGATGCATTAAAACATTTCTGAAGGGATATTTTGTGCCAAATTTTATACAAATATGCTGTTTAAAACAGGATATATTATGATTTTGTAAGGACATAACATATACTGCTTACATGGTAGTAAAAATTCTTGAAAAAAAGATTAGAATGCAAATTATGCACTTGTAAATGCCTTAATATGTAGATTTTTTCCCCAGATAAAAATGACACGTTTCTAACAGCAGATAAAAAGGTAATATGAATATTGTAAATTATTTGAATGACAAAAAATATAATCAACATGTTTTTTATGCCTTTTACTGATAAATAAAAAGGCTGAACAGCAAGATTAAGCCAAATTCATAGGCTGGAGGACTAGAATTTTAAAGTGGCTAGTAAGCTTATGTTATGTGTCTCTGTAATTACACACCATTGTACCATTCATAGATTGCAGTCACAATGGCATTGTTGCTTGGAAAAAAAATGAATGGAACAATGTTCTCTTCTCAGATTAGTTTACAGAACATCATAACAATAGGCAACTCATCATTTGAAGGTAATGAAGTACTCATTGCAATCCTTTTTTCAGGAAGACAGTGTTCAAATTTGAGAATCAATGCCATGAGCTGATATCTCTATTAATAATCATAACAATATGTGCATCATCAGCAAAGGAACACTGAAGGCTGATTCATGTTCCTGACACATGAACCTCAACAGCATATGTGGAAAAATTGCAGAAGAGTTGTAAGCTATCCAACACATTTAAAAAAAATCTGGTATTGCTCTTTTGGAGGAGTACGATAAAATAACTCATTAATATATGCACCAATTCCAAGCTTTCTAAACTTGCAATACTGGAGTTAGTTACTTTCAGTTAGTAGTGTAGCTATAAGCTGCTGAGAAAAAAAAAAAAAAAGACAACTGGCTTTTCTCCTACTTCATTTCCATTTTATGTGTTTTGCTTCATGAAAAGCACCTGAATGAAGGCTGACTTGAAATGTAGTCTCAAATGATCTGAGGCCACTAAATGCTGTGTGGTAATGATGACTTGAGTTCTGATTGTAAATGAACGGGGGCTAACAATAGCATTGAAGTGCTTATTTTTAACTAACATTTAAGATGGATATGGTCTGAGCTGAGCTGCACATTTTTAAAGTGGCAATTTTCACATGAAATATAATTTTATAATCATGTATTGCTGGGACAGGAAGATGGGTCTAAAATTAGAGTATTCTAGAAACCACAAGATTTCAACAGCTTCATATCTTTAGTAGGCCTTCTTTAATAAATTGAAACATTAGTATAAAATTCTAAATATCAATTATAATATAACTTTAATTAGGATAACTTCCTCATTAAGAGGGAAATACTTCAGATTACATTTTTCAGGAAGGGGGCACGTGAGCAGGTGCATATGTTTGACTGCTAATTAAGACAAAATAGAGACATGAAAACTAGTCCTTTTGAGCTCCTGCAGTTTATTCTAAAATAGCTTCTAAAATGCAGTTCTATTCTTTGCAATTTTATTGCAAATTTTCCCAACTACAGATGTAAATATTACTAGTTGTGATAGGAGTTTTCCTACACAAAAATCGATTAAGACCTAAAAATAAATATTTTATGTTCAACAAAATTTACTGTACTGCCTGCAGAATCACAACTGGAATAAAGAAACACACTTTTACAATGTTATCAAAGATTTTGCTTACAGATAACAAGAGGATAGCATTTTAGAATGTCGAAATAAAAATTTTATTTAAAAAAATGCTTTTTTTTATTATTTAAATTTTAAACTATTTCCCTATAAGTTGCTTTGACATTTTGTAGCATTTTTTGTTTGTATTGATGGGAAAGGCAAACTTACGTATAAAAAACCAGATTCAACATTGTTTGCTTTTGGTGTATCTTTGAATATATATATATATATATATATAACAATAGCTAACCCTTACACATGCATATCATAGATATGTTTATCTGAATTTATAAATGACAGAAGACTTATATATTATTTATTTAGATTATTATAAGAAAAGTTGTAAGAACAATACTAAAAAGACCAATTTTGGTCAAAATTTTTTGCGCATTGTGCTGCAAAATTAAGGAAATGAGAAGATAAATTTTAGTAAGCTCGCCAAAAGTTACCAAAAGCTGTGGCTCCAAGAAAACTTCAACATAAGCATATTCAGTAGCTATGAAAAGTGTGAAAATAGAAAAAAATATTTGTATATTTACATGTTCAATTAATAAAAGCTATACGCTAAACATTTTCAGAAATTTCAACACAGTAGAGAATAACAAATCAATTGAATGAGGTAAAATAATAGGCTATATGCGAAATAAAAAGTAAATTAAAAACACAGTAAAATATTAATCGATTGAACAAGGTAAAAGGCAAAAAATATTAAAATTAAGAAGCGGAAAATAGTTAATTAGCACAATTCAAAGTTCATTTTGACTTTTCAAGGGAAATATCTAAATGAGCATCGAACCAAGCTAACCCCATTACGCGTTTCACTGAAACAGACAATTGAAACTTTGTGCTACAAAATTTGTTATTAATTAAACTGTCTAAAAAAAATGTCTACAAAATTTTTTTTAGTCTCAATTCTCTGTTCCAATTTCCTGAAGCGTCCGCATATATTGACACATTAAGGTGTAAGAAAATGTAAAGGCAATTCCGATGTACAGCACTAATAATAAAAATAAATAAATAGCGGTATGCTATTAGTCAAAATATACAGTGACATACGGGCTGGACCTGCAAGCTTAAAGAATTAAAACTTTACAAACGAACCATAAATCAAATTTAAATGAAAAAAAATTAAACAAGACGACAAGTAGTATGGGTCTTGCTAAGACCTAGAAAAATTTTATTTATTTAGATTATATACTTTAGCCATTATTTTGCTGAACAGTACCCACTGGCTATAAAAATGTAAATATCCACCATATAGAATTTTGTTTCCTTATAAAATTTGTTTCTCATAAATGCTTCTTTTTATTGTTATTAATAAACAGAACTTATGAATCATAAAGACAGCCAACCAAACATTTTTCAGCAGTGCTAAAGTCACCAGTTGTTTCGTAACTTTTCATGGGGACATGCAGATAGTCATAAAATACCAAATTTTTAATTTATTTTATTTTCATTCATAGAAATATGCATTTTCAGCTTTGTCATCTAAATAATTTACTAAAATGCAATGCATTTAAGAAAATTTATATGAATTTAAATATATATGAAATGTGTGTCGTCGATAGTTTATTGTTGCCACTCGGAAAAATAAGTGCGGAAATTAACGTTTCTGCAGTTTTTAATTAATATCTTAACTGATTAAAGTCATATGAAGATGAGAATGGTATTGATGGATTCAGAGAATTTTTTGGAATCCGAGGATACGTGTCTCGAATTTTAACTCACGCCGTTCCGTAGATATTCGAGAAAAAAGAATTTGGCATGTAGTCAAATCCCTCTAATAGGGAAAACCCAAGAATGAAAGTGGAAAATGTAGAGAAAAATTAGTTTTTAGTTTTTAATTAATATCTCGGCTAATTGAAATCGCAAGAAGACGCGAATGGTCAAAATGGCGTGCCACGGACCTGCGGAATCCAACGTGTCCTTTTGCTAAGCCGGGAGCCAGCCGTTTCAGAGGAATATGTTTCTCACCCATATAATATAGGTGGCTTAAATATCTGTTTGTTGCCGATAGTTATTGGTTGCTTGTTGTAATGTACTAGCTATGGGGTGTGTTTGCCATGGCACAGGTTTGCCATTTCAATTGAGAGTAACAGTTTCCTTTGTAACTTGCCTTTGCTATGACCTCAAAGTCTCGGCCAACGCTTAAGCTGTTGGCATTTTTTTACCTGAGCCTGCATTGGACACCGGTCAACTTTTATGTTGCCTGTTCAGAGTTCATGAAAGAACGATGGAATTAAAAATATGGAGATCCTCTGAAGAACGAGCTAAAATGATGGAAAGATCCCAAGAAATGTTGTGGTACAAAGAATCTTTGGCATGTGAATTAACATTTTATTATTTAAATCCCCTTTATTTATTGAGCTAGCCATGGCTCTTAGAAATATACCGCCAGTGGTTTCCTTCGTTACACTCTACTTTAAGCAATTAAGCAAGTAGAAGGGAAAATAAGTTTTGTGAGAAAATAAGTCTCGCAAAATACTTTTTTTCACCTTAAATAATAATAAAAAATCAGTAACTCTTCTGTAGTAGGCAGGTCCCAAATTTTAATCTCTTTTTTTTTTTCTTCAAAAATGCATGATAGAAGGGGAAAAAGGATCTTTACTCAAGAATAATAACTAACACATGTAATCAAGGTTACACCAAACCCAGCGTGTTTGAAGACTTTTCAATTTTTGGCCAAAAATCGTGTAGTTTGGCGTCTTTTCTTTTCATTTTCACACCAATATATGCTGTCTTTTAGAGGACAAATGATTACGAACACACTTAAATACCTAATTACAAATAATACATAGATGTGCATATAGAAAGAAATTTGGAAAGAAAATGTCAAAATAAATTAATAAATCCAACCTTAATAAAATAAAATGCTAACAACAACTTACCAGGTACAATGGAGGGGAACATATTACCAGATGTCTTGACACTGTCAGTGTTTTTACTTCTAGCCCCACCTACATTTGGAATATCTTTTGCCTCAGTTTTCTCTTTCTCATTTGGTTCCGAGGTATTACTGCTATTTTTCTCTTTATCTCCATCCATGCTAAAAATATAATTCATTTGGCAAAATTACACAAAAAATGAAATAAGAAATAAATCTTTTATCAGATACAGCAGATAAAAACTTTATAACCATATTTTGCTTACATTTATTTCAACACAGAAAAAATTTAAACAAAAAGTTTCATTAAAATTAGTTTGTGTTAAGCATTTATGACAGAAAACTTTTAAAGATGCTATTACATTTAATAAAACTCAATAAGGAACTTGAAATTTATATATGATTCAGAAAATCTAGCAAATATTTAAAAATGATCTCTATCATTTCACTTCTAATAAAAGTAATTAAACATTTGTTGTCATTTAATTAACTAAATATAGTCAATATTCTATCTTCATTATATTCAATGTCCACTAGTAGTTGAGAGGTAAAACCATTGAATGAACCTGAAGTTCAACCAGGTTTTCAAATCCTGACAAACTGGCTGGCTGCATGGTAATCTTCGTGGTTTCCCCACTGTGTAAAGTTCTCCATAAAGGCATTTCTCCTAAAAAAGATAACTCTTGAATGCTTTGCAACATTTTAAATAATTCAATCCAATCCATTGCCATATTCAGCAGCACAAAGTATTGCACATTCCCAAAAGTCTGGATTTTTGAGCAAATACTTGGGTAGATTATGTTTCACCCATGGGTGCCACCTAGCATTTTAAATGCATTCTCACTGTATCATTTTATGCACTTTCTTTTAATTTTGATTTTTTAATTATTACATGAATATGCAAATAGTACTTACGTATTATTCCACTGAATGTGAAAGTGTCATTAAGCAACACAATTTAGCATTAATTATAGATAAGTGTGGCATCATAACATCTGTGCTTTCATTTGGTGTTAACTCCAAATGATTCTAGATAAGCCACCTTTTGTTTTTATGAACAAGGATATAAATTAACTGTTATTGCTGTATTTTTTCCTTGAACAAAATGAATTTGAGGGTGTATATTTGTGAGCACATTCCAGTACACTTACAGCTGGCTGAGAGAATGAATATCTGTTGAATGAAAATAAGGACAGCAGGATCTGGGTTGACAGAACAGCAATAGATTGAAATAATCATCTGTGGACAGTTTGTACTCATAGAGTTCTAAACAGAGCTTTAGGTAAAATTGCCTAACAAAATGGTAGAAGTCAATGTTTTACATTAAAGCCTTCATACAATGTAATAAGTATTTGTCAATGAAGAATTAACATTTACAGTAAGATTTGCAGAAGTATGCTCAGAATTCTGGAGGAATGACTAGCACAGCTTTGGCAAGATCTCCATCACCATGGTTCAAAAATAATTAATTTTCATGATTAATGGAATAATACACAAAAAGCCAAAAATTTTCATTTTGTAAAAATAAGCACATTTTGAAACATAATTATTTTGATTATTTATTACCGAAACATTATAATTAGAAAATTACATTAGTTATCAGATTTTTTTTTTTTTTATTAATTTTTCTTTTTCATAAATTAAATTTTGCATTCTCAGTGGTTTTTTAAATTTTTGAAACTTTGCACTTTTAGTAACAAAATGGTTTTTGATTACTGCTTTAACATATTTCCATGTAATTTTACTTTTCCTATTTTAATCTAAAATAGTTATATTGACAACAAAGAGTTTAAATGGCTGAGAAGAAATAAAAATTTGAAAGAAAAATTTAGTGCTTAAATTTTTATAAGCTGAATTCTTAAAACAAAACTATGCATATTAAATCAATAAGCAATTTACAATTTGTGATTTAATAATAAATGTTAAATTATATCCTTAATCATTAAACTATTAGCATGATCAATAAATAAAACTGTAGAATAAACAAATTATTAATTTTTAATTAAATTTTAAAATTGGCATTATTCAATTATATTTTCAAATCCTAGCATATACTTTTCTTTCTCCTCTACTAAAGAAAATATAACTTGGAAGGGGGAAAAGAATAGCCATCTAACTGTATTTCAAAATGAGCATCAAAAACCTAGAGACTGAAAGAATTTTGTAGATTTGCATTGTAATAGAAAATAATTTGAATTGATAATTTAAAAAAAGTTTCAATACATAAACTTCAAAAGATAATTAAAAATATAACTGCCAGATTTAAAGCATTTATTATATAACTAAAAGAATCAAAAGTACTTGTTTCTATATCTTCATGAAGCTGCTATTATGATATGCAGAAATTATTTTATACCTGTATATAAAATAACACATACAATATTTATATTTAATTACATTGGGGGGATTTTAATCCCTAAGGATAATTAAGGGCAAGAATGATAAAAGAGAAGAGATTCATACCTCTAAATCTGCAAAAGGCCTAATGCATACACGGAACTTTAAGAAAGTGTGTCAGCTTATTAGCATGTTTTATAAGATGATCAAACAAGTTTGATAGTCTGGAATTCAGCCAACAATCAGTGGACTAAACATAGAAAGTATTTCCTTGTAGAAACAAGTGTAGATTAAATAATGTTTCCTGTGGAAATGAATGTCTATCTCCAAAATCATAGCTCAATGTATACGCTGTTTATAAGCATACAGTGTCTGCAGCAAGAGAGAACTCAAAATACACGGTAAGCCAAATATCTTCTCAAGAGATTGGTGGTAGGGAAACAGAGAAAGAAGATTTTCAGATCACTGTATTTATGGTATTCTCCTTTAAATAGAAAAAAGAACTGCACAATTAGTGAAAATGGACTGTACCAATAGTGAAATTCTGATGTCCTGCCCACTTCTACATATACCTATCTTTAGAATCTTTGTATTACAATAAACAATTCATTCAAGGTCCATTTATGCATTGAAATGAATACACATATTAAACATAGAACATAAATTAACATGGAAACTTTGTCAAGCCTAGCTTATAAGAGGCTTCAACTTGGGTGAAGAATTAATGAGATAAAATAATGTAACAGCTGTAAAGTCAATGCACTACAATCTGTCTACGAAGGCAAGAAGTGTCCATTTTAGGAGAGCTCTGTTGTTTGCTTAAGATTAAAACCAATACTTCTAAAAGAATAAAGTTGCAAAAAAAAAAAAAAAAAAAAAATATCAGACCAGAGCTGAGGTTTGGAGCTTCATGATGATATTTCAGAAGATGACAGGACAGTAAAAACTGTTTAATATGGTTAGATATAAATTTGAACATACAATTAAATGCTGATTGTTCTAAATGAATAAATGCAGATCATTATAAATGAATCAATGGTATTTTTTTCATAAAAAAATATAACATTTGATGAAGCTCTAATGTGCTTTTGGAGAAAAGATTAATGCAAAACCTAATCTAATTTTCAGGGAAACATGCTATTAAACCTAAGATCTGTATTCAATTCATAAAATATGCTCTTTAAAATATCTGGCAGTATAAAGGTAAAAATATTAGAAACTAGTTTTTTTTTTTCCTCTATATATAGATCATTCAATGTTTGATAATTGCACATTTTTTCACTTATCTATCAATTATTGCTCATTTCCAAATGAATAATTTATGTGAAAGGTTAGTTTTGGCTATTTAAGATGGCAAAACCCCTTGCAGCTATCTATCTGAGAGTAGGACTGCCTTTGTGGAGGATTTTATAAAGGAACTGGATCTGATTCATATTGCACATAGAGAAAATTATGTGTGTATTGTGTGTGTATTGAGAATACGGCAAAGCACACTAGGGCTATCTGCCTAGAGGAGGGATGCCTTTCGTGGGGGACTTTCTAAGGGAAACTGGCTCGTATACACGTTACACATGGGGAAACCATGAAAACGTCCATGCAGCCAGCCCGTTCGCGGGATTCGAACCTCGGACCGAACTACCAGTGCTCAGCGATTTTACCGCTCGGCCGCTGGTGGGCAGAGAAAATTATGAAAAGCAACCATGCAGCCAGCCATTTGCTTGGGATCAACTCTATGATGTTAACATTTCAATTATTACATACAATAGCCTCTGAATATAATTTTTCAAATGAAAAAATGTATTATAAATTCGATCAAAAATTTTTAACTTTTTAGATCCAAAATGTGACTGTTAATGTCAAATTTTTCTGAGTTCATACTAAAACATTTTAAGTAAATTTTCTGTTCTTTCAGTTCCTCTATGTGCACTACATTTAAATTCATAATGCGCTCAAAGGAAATACTATTAAACAATACAATGGAGGGTACTATTCAGTTTTGAGGGCCGTAAAAAATCGCCAAACTATTGTTGATACCAGTGCTGCCAAAAATAATTGCGGCAACCCTAACGCAAGAAAGGAAGTATAATAATAAATAACTATCTTAGATGATGTTTTAATTTAGATAAAGGTTAATTTCATATAATCCATTTTTATTATAATTTATATAAAAAAGGCAAACTGACTGATGGAAAGCATAGTAAATAACTATTTCAGATCATTACTATAATTTTTATAAAAATTGCTACATAACTGAATGGGATGCCTGCAATCGCTATTTCGCGACCAATTTATAAAGCATTGTTCCCCCTTGGTTGTTCAACATAATTTTCTATAATAATGATACTTTTTCTTTGAAAAAATTCTCGGTAAGTGCAGAATCGCCCACTTATTTGTTCGCCGCTTTTAAAAGGGTTAAAAACAATGAATTTTTCGGTAGTGAAAATAGTCTATGTGTAACCTGTACCTAGTTTGCATCTTGAAAAGCGTCACAAGGGAGATTTGCAACTTTACCCAATATAAAACTATATAAACTTACGCAATCTGAAATCAGCGCGTGCGCTAGATTTGGCGCTTTTGTGCACACATTTTCGCTGCAATTTTTTTACGGTCCTCAAAACGGAATAGTACCCAATGGAGTTTCATTCGTGGGCAGATGGCTTGATTGTCAATGACTTGGCATCTGTCAACAACATATTAAAGACAACCCAGAAGATAATTAACTTTTTTACAAGTACATATATTTGCCTTATACAAAGTGTTTAAATTATGCATTTACATTACAGATCGTAACCTCACATATTCTGCACAGGAAATTCATTATTACGCAAGTTGGATGAAATTAAAATCTTTTGCTATAACAGCCTGTTAAAAATTCTTATAATTTGGATTTATCAAATGATTAGTCGATATACATAATATATCGCTAATATAAAGTTTTTTGGGAATTTTTGTATTAAAAAGTATTTCCAAATAAATTTTTGTGTTCATCCACTACAAGGACTTTTTAATTAGGACGGATGTAAAATAACTTAAATTAGCTTTATTACTAATATCATACAAATTCAAACACCCTCAAAGAAATATATAAACCAAAAAATTCACAAGCACTATTTACATTACAAGTGTTTCACAGCTGATGCCTTCTCGATGATTTACAAATTATGAGGGGGAATAAAATCATGTTGCCAACTTATGGATAACAATATTACGTATACATACATAAATATAAGAATGATTAAAAAATAATTTATAGCTTAAATATATTTGTTATTGCTTTTCTCAAGTCATTAGGAATTTTCGATGCTTTGAAAATTTAAGCGTAAGAAAACAAAATTCTTCAGTTGAATAATTAAGAAACAAAACATTTATATAGAAATTATAAAGAAGTCAGTTTACTTTAAAATTAGTTGTTAAATATCTCATTTGAAAACATTTAAAACGGAATCTGCATTGTAGAGATTATATGTCCATCCATTAGATAAATAAGTATGAAATAAGTATTTAGGGGGGAAAAAAAGAGGAAATGCCGAAAACCTTTAGATATGGCAACAACTTTCCGGAAGTGAAAGATGGCTGCTACCGTGTATGGGATGCTGAACGAAGGAAACAGTGTTCAAAACAAATTAAATAACTCAGAAACTGACGCGTGCAATTCTCTATCATCTCATTCTGACTGTCAAGAACAAGATGAATTTATAGTATCGTGGGGTTTTAATATCAATGAACTGTACAGTTTAGCAACAACCTTTTTAAAAGGTAGGCTGAGTCCCGTCATCTGAGATGATGTGGATTATTTTGTTTTGCACTTCCCATCATTTGGAATGTCTGCAATGAAGCAAATGTTTACGAATCTTCAAAACTTAGCGGAAAATTTGCAATAGTTCTTTGATTTATAATGGAATTCATGTTTGGATCGAAAATAAATGGGAATAATTTTAGCAATTTCGGGAGTATTCAGTTGTGAAAGCAAGTAATAAAAGAATTAAATATTGTTAGATTGTCATGTCGAAGGATAAAATGCTGAATTATATAAATAGAGGTTTAATCCTAGTATCCAGTGCACACGGGATTCGGCTACTTTTGGCGACTTTATGATGAGCACTAAAAACTGGACATATACGATGAGTAGTAAACGGGTCAGTTCTATTCTATTTTCGGGACCGGATTCAGTGCGGTCCCGAATGTCGGTATGTGCGTGTGTGGATATGCATACACACAGATACCTTTCTGCTTGCATATATATATGCATACATGAACACATCCATTCGTACATACATATATACATTTCTGTATTTAGTCCCGATAACAGAACAGTACCAATTTGATTTACCACTAAAAGCTGAATTGCAGTTTATATTAATGTAACAGCTACAGTATTCCACATACCAAAGAGTGCCACCCACACAGTATAGTGGTTACAGGAGCCTGCTGTGATACAGGACACTGTTCGAATCACGGAGAAGGCAGGGATATTTGTAAATGTATAGTTTCTGTAGGGTGCGAGGGCACTCTAGATATGCAGCGAGCCGAAAGTCATCTCGAGAGTTTGGGGGTAGGACACCCTTAGACCTTCCCTTCCCAAAGCTCTCCTTCAAAATTGGGGGCAGAAATGAGCGAAGTCGTAGTCACCTGTTTGGTGCTCAAGTCTTTGCCAACGACAGGTGCTATCTTGCTTTCTTTGCCATGATGAATTTCATGGTCTTCATTCTGATGTCTTTCTCAGGCAAGTGAGATAAATCACAACACAATATATACTGCTATATAAGAATGCCAGTAACACCCAATAATTAGCAATGTATTAATTGATCCAGCTTAAAACTAATACTGTGTTTTAAAATTTCGAGGAACCTTCAGTTTTTGAGAAGCTATATTTTAAGGAATGTTTACAATTAATTTCTGTGTACTCACAGTGTAATTCATAAATTACACATATTCCCAGCATTTTAAAATTGTAATTTTGAAATGAAATTCTGTGCAATTTGTTATATAAATTAATAAATTGCAAATAATCTAAAAATTTAGATTAGATACGAACTACCTGTTATATTGCTTTACATTTTCTAGTTATGATGGTATCATTTGTATTGTATTCCAAAAAATACCACTTTTGTAGTGCTGTTGGAATTTATTAATTTGTAGAATTTTCCCAATCATTAAATTATCCACCATTGATTTTAAATTTGAAAGTAATAAAGTATAAACAGCTACCAAAAATTAAAAATCTGCCCTTTTCACATGATTATGATAAAGCTGAGTATAAGATTTTGTATACTGTAATTATTGTCTAAAATGTTTTAAGCATTAAATAAGCTTGCATTGCCTGCATTACTCAAAATATTCATAATAAGAGTGTATTATATATTTTATTAGATTGCCTTAATTTTCTTTTATTTCTTTATTTATGACAGAAAAAGAAGGCAAGGCTTTCCACATATCCTATAAAGATAAACTGGCATTAGTTGCATATAACCAACAAGTTTCTCATGGTAAATATATTGAAGAAAAAGCACCACCTTTGGGCTATTTAGATGTCATTGGAAGAGACAGAAGGTAATATTATTTTTGTGTTTATTTGGGATTTCATATGCATTTAAATTTTATAGGGATCTGTACTGTTTCTCTCCATAAAAATCTCTCAGCATTTTAAGTGTAAAAAAAAAAAAAAAAAAAGCCTTGGAAATTTGGAAAGAAAATACTCAAGTACAGTATAGAAAATTGCTATAGGTGGTCTGCAGCCCCCATATTATTATTTCTGATTTTTTTTTTTTTTTAAAATCAATAGAGTAGAATTGAGTTTTTTGTTGGTTGTTGTCTGTTTTAAAAATATTTCTTAAAATATTGAATTTTGTATTTTAAGAATTTTTCATTCAAAATATATTATATTTTTTAATTTAAAGTTTTTGCAGTTATTTAAATGTTATAAAGATCATATATATTTATTACAGGTGCATAAAACTAACAGTAACTTGATAAATTAGTAAGAAACAATCTAATTAATTAAATGATATTTAACAAAAATTTACTATTTTGAAGAATAATATAAAAGTTTCGGTTTTGAGGGCCGTAAAAAATCGCCAAATATTGTTGATGCCAGTGCTGCAAAAAATAATTGCAGCAATAAAGTCGAGGGTGTGTGCAGCACCATTTTTGTGCAATTCTGGGAATTTTTTTTTTTTTTTTAAAGTGAAAATAGGTCGATGTGTACATGGATACCAAGTATGTGCAATTCTCAAAAATGCGTCAAGCAGTGGGTGATTCTGCACTTTACCCAAAATTTTACTGCAGACTTTTCATCATGGGCAATTCCCAAATTGTTAAATTCATAGCATATCAAAAGGTTTAAATAACAAAAGTATTTAAAAATTAAACTATATTCATGGTGTCTTAAGAAATATAGACTATATAAACTTGCGCAATCTGGAATCAGCACGTATGCTACATCTGGTGTGCTGTTAAATGGGCGTGTTTGCTAGATTTGGCGCTTTTGCGCATACATTTTCGCTGTAATTTTTTTATGGTCCTCAAAACGGAATAGTACCAAAGTTTCTTATTATCTTTGATTTACAACTCGGACAAAAATATCCAATATTTTTTGTACTGTGTTATCTTTCAGAGAGATTGAAAGAGAAATGATGAATGTGTTGTGAAAGTAATGTTAGTAAAGTGTATATTTGTGCAAATCTGGGATGATCCAGAGAATTAGAATTTTTAAAAAATCAAATTTGGGTCTAATCAATTATTTAAAAAATACTCATATTTTTAGCATAATCATATTTGTTGCAAACATGAAATAATTTAAAAGAAACTTAAGTATGTTATTCATAATACACTTTTTATGATTAATAGATAATTTTTATTTCAATAAAATATACAGCTACGGCCCCCAACGTCATACTTTGTTGTATCTTCGCACTTGGCACAACAATCAAAGACTCAAAAAATACAGCCCTTTTAGCTTGGCAGAAACTTAGAACCTGATCTCCCGGGAGGTTTACCTCTGTCTCTAAGATCCTTTATTGATCCGTCAGTGGGACTACCGAGAGACTACTGAACAAACAAATTCACCATGAAGACCTTCTTAGACAGCTGGCTCTGGAAGTTATTAGTTGCGTTCCTAAAGATGCAATGCAGGTTTATACTGAGATGGTAGTTGTACTGAAGATCATACTAGCAGTGATATTTTTATTACCCCTCCACTTTGAAACTACAGTAAAGCAACACATACCTGACACTTGCTCTATCTTCAGGAGTCAATTAATTGCCATTAATTGCTTGATGCTGTAATGTCTTATGATTGTGATTTTGATGAACTGTGAATTTTATCAGAGAGCTGCAGTGCACTACAACATCTTGGTGGCTGGTCCTCTGCAAATGATGACACCAGCATATTTATTCTGCTCAAACTGAGAAAGATCTCTCAGACCCATGACATCCATGACATCCATCTCCAATGGATCCCATTGCATGTTAACGTTAGTGGTAATGAATTAGTGGTTGCTGATAGACTGGCCAAAGAGGGTGATGAAAATGAAATGTTACTGGCTGTTCGCTTATTTATCAAGAACTTGACTCAAATGAAAGATCTAAATGTAATTTGGCATATTCCACCTACGCACCAATGGAACACAAGAACATCCCCTGGCTCTCTGCTGAAAATCAAATGTGACCGTGGCTCCCAGACTGCTCTGGCTAGACTAACAAGTGGCCACATTAAATGTCTTTCCTTTGATAGTGATAGAAGAATCCTCCCCGCTTGTAAAAAATGCTGTTACTATCCAGCTTCACCGAATCACATACTGGGTTGCATCGGACTTTCTAAGGGGAACTTAACATCTGATCTCCTTATTGTTATTAATTTTTTGGTGGTCGACAACCTTCTGGAGCTGATCTAACATATATCAGATCTTTCGAGGATAAGCAACAACAATAGCAGATAATTTTACTATGAAGATGTAAATAGAATATAATTGTAGAATTGAAAACATGACTCGTAATTTAATCAATTTAAAGTAATTATTGAGTATATTATTGAGGGAGGTGGAATGGAACTAGCAGATAAGAAGAATAAATAGCTCTTACATAAAAGTCTAATTCAATTGATAGCTGATTATAAGACAAGTAAACAATCACACATATTCAAGCGGTTTTGATCAAAGACAATCAAAAGTTATTGGGTTTTTTAAAATGGTATTGCCTTCAAATGTGTCAGATATTTCTCATATATTAAATAGTTTATGAACTTGTAGGTTTCAGATGCCTTAAATCAAACGTAATCTAAAGTAACTAGTATATATTAAAGAGGACGTTTAGTAGAAATCCTGTCTTGAAAAGTGAAAATTTTAAAAAAAATTCATAATAATTGAAATGGAGGGACATTTGATCCATCTCTAAAGGAATCAGCAATTAAATGAATAATTAATTTGAAAACTGTAAATAATTAATTTCATAAAACATAATTTTAAATGTTTTCCAGGAGTTTTTTTTTTTTTTTTTTCTATTTTAGTTGAAAACTGTAAATAATTAATTACCTATTATATTTTTATCTATTTCAATTGGGTAAAAGCTTAAACTAAATTGCTTCACAACTTAACAGTTTGTTTAATTTTTTCAAACATGGCAAATCTTTTCTGAGACAACTGCACTTCAAGGGTTAAGTAGAATTTCTTATAAAAGAGCAATCAAAGAAAATTATTTGTTCATAATATGCATTTACTTTATATTATTTACATACAATTATACATTATGAAATTAGATTCTAGCTAAATTCAATGTAAACACAGGTTACCTTGCTAGATTGCTGGCCAAATTATTGTCCTATCTCTAATCGGAATCCAAAGAATTCAAATTGATAGCATTCATATAAAAGTAATTAATATGTATAGATGCTTCAGCTTAAATTTAAGCAAAGAAAGTGATTTTTAAAAAAAATCTGAAAGTTTTGAGATTTTATATTACACCCAAAGGGCCTTTTTTTTTTTTTTTTTTTTTTTTTTTTTTTTTTTTAACGTTTTGTGTGTTACCTCTATTTATTAAATATCATGTTCTTCGCTCTTAAACCATAAAATCCAATATCACAAAATAATTTTAAAGCAGCATATCTTTAGAATTCCGATACACGGTCTCGTGCACTAGAGATTAAAATGTTTTTTCATACAGTGTTGCCATTGCTCGCTTTGAAATCATTGAGTTTCTTAATCAAAAACTCGTATGCTTTACAAAATGGGCAATAGATATTAATAATAATAATACAAATTCCAAATTAAGGCTTCCAGATGCCCATATTCAGGTGGAGAAGTACCTTATTCAAAATTTGATGGCTCTAGGTACTGTTGTTTTATCACACTGCAAGAAATATACATACATTTATGCAGATACTTTGTTATTTAATTTCTTTAAATATAATTCATGGGGATAATATTCGGTGACAACAATTTAAAAAGTGAAATGCCACAAAATGCCAAAATGAAATTAATAGCCCTTCTGGGCTAATAATTTTCTGCTGTTTACAATATTATTCATTATTTATATATCAAACTTTAAAAATAATGATCTGGCCCCTGAACTAATATGCTTTCTCATGTGCTACAGATGAAAGCTAATTCACCAGTAATTTGCAAAGTATTCTAGCTAGTTGAACTGGTATTGAAACCCTCTGTGTTCTAAATTGGCAGAGCTCTCTCTCTCTCTCTCTAAACTTTGATTCTCATTCATTATTAACTTCCTTGATTAACATTTCTGTTAGAGCAGGTAGAAAGTAAAAGTACAGAAAAGACTCCACATAAAATGTATCTGTTAATCAAAATACATTACAAAATATTTGCTTATTTTATCATATTTTAATGTAGTTTCAACTCCTTGCTTTTTTTCCATATGAAGACTGAGGGAGATATATATCCCTAAATGTTTTATAAATTTAATAGAAAAAAAGTAAAAGTTTTAATTTGTAGAAATTCATGCTAAACTCGCCAAGATTTGTTAAATTTTATGTAGCATATGTTAGCAACAAAGATCGTTAGTTAACTCACTAGGTATACTGTTCATTTTACAAAAGTTAAAACATTCTCGTAAGGAATTTGAAATAAATATTACTCTCCCGGGATATCAAGTTTCTCGAAAATAACGACACAATGCGCACGGACGAAATGGTTGAGAACATTGAAAATCACGCAACCGCACCCAGCAGCCAAAGAATGTTTATGTCATTAATATTCTTTGCAGCAGCAATCTGAGGTGAGTATGACTCTTATAAGTAATGATTTCATGCCAGCATGTTGTGCACACATGCCCTCATCTTCCATTATCCTCTCATTTTCAATCCATTCTTTCATTTAGTCTACAATCAGCTAGATATCCACAAACATGTGCATATTTTGAAATTATTTAAATGCTTTCATAATAATGTCTAGTGAAAAAAAAAAAAGATACTGTTTCTGCAAGTGAACAAGTGCCACAAAAGGAGACAAACTATTCGACGTTGTTTCAAGACAAGTGGTTAACTCAATTTGATTGGCTTATGAAGAGAAACAACTTTAACAGAGAATGTAAAGTATGTCGGAAAACCGTAATATTAAGTACGAGGATGTTAGAGCTTTAACTGTACATTCTCAAAGCAAGAAACACCAGTCGTTAATATTGAATAGAAATTCTTCGCAATCAGTTTCGAACTTTTTCATGAAGAAATCTTCAGAAGAACAGGACAATATATTAGCAATTTAAATTACTTTAGTCTATCATAGGATTAAGCACCATCATAGTTTTAAGAGCCAGAATTGCACAAACAAATTGTATAACACTCTATTTCCAGATTCTTCTTTGGCAAAAAAGATTTCTTATGGTAAAACAAAATGTACAAGTACAGAGTATCTCAAAAAAGTGTACTTATACTTCGAATGACGAGAAAAACTTTATTTCTGAACATAGAGTCAAATGAAATGGCTTTGAATATAGAAGACAAATATAATTGAGGAATCATGTTTCTAAATGTTCAAATTGATGACAATCATTGTCCAGACAATGCTGGTAACGCACCCCAGGGGGTTCACAAACGTCACGAAACAAGTCATTAAGAATATCGCAACATTGTCGTTCAGTTTCCAATTTCAATGCATCAATTGTTCTTGGTTTGGTGCGATAAACTTTGAGATATCCCATCAAAAAGAAGCCCATGGGCATGAGCTCTATGGAACATGCAGGGTATTCAGTGTTACCCCTTCTTCGAATCCATGTATCTGGAATAGCTGCATAGAGGTGAGCCTGTACATCGCAATAGTAGTGGGAAGGTACTCCAACTTGCTGAAAGTAAATCTTGTCGTCATCACCAAACATCTCTGAAATTTGTGGACCGACAAAATCTTGAAGCAAGTTGAGGTAACGCTTACCAGTAACAGGTCCTTTAAAAAAACGGTCCTCTGATGCCCAATGCAGATATTCCACACCACACTATTACTCCTGGTAAGTTTACATGGTATTTAAGCGTTACATGATGATTTACAGGATCCCAGTATGTGCAGTTATGGTGATTAATGGAGCAATTTAATTTAAAGGATGCCTAATCGCTCCACGCAATTTTGTATGGAAACCCTGCATCCTTTGCACATTTTGTCAGATACCAATCACAGGATTGTACTCTCCAGTCAGGATCGTCTTCATTTAGAGCATGGATTAGTGTTGGAATGTAGCATTTCCAGTGCAGACACTATCTTTTGAGATGTGGGTTTATCAAGCAGTTTGTCGAAGATATTTTTGTGGTGATCGAAGGAGTGTTTCTTGCACCTGCTCTTCATTCTAGTGCTCGTGGATGTCTGTAGTCATCCAGAATGTTTCTTGTTGGCTTTCTGGACAGTTCCATCTGTTTCAAACTTGTCTCTGATGTGAGCAATGGTCCGACTTGTTGGTGACAGTTTTGCGAATTCTCTCGTCTTTACACTTCAATGGCGTTTTCGGTCTTCATATAACATTTCAGGACAAACTTCATCTTTTCCAAACTAAGTTCATTTCCTGCCATGCTGTGGTAGATTACACTTGCAATCATAAGACAGCATGTTAGCGACAGTTAAAGTGTGTTTGAGACACCCTGTATTTGTGAGAGTGTGCGTGCTCCTACAGCTCAAAAACTGCTTTTAAATGGGATTAAGGAGGAAGAAATTTTTTTTGAGTTGCGACTGAAAAAAAAAAAGTTTTTTTCATCTCCCGGAAACTTTTTTTTTCTCTCCTGGATTTTGACAGCCAAGAGGTGGCAATGCTAGTTGTGAATAATCAGGAAAACTAAAAAATTCTATCTTATATGGTAGAAAGTTTACCCTTTGTCTAAGACTATGTTCTTTCATGTTTCTGTGATATATATATATATATAATATATTATAACATTTACATTTTATGAAAGTACTAAATTTGGGAAGAAAAAAATATTTATTTTGTTAAATTAAAAAAAAAAAAAAAAAAATTAACAGCAAAAAATTTTTAAATTGTGGTTCTGACTGATAAATTTCTGTACGTAAGTTATTTAATTTGCAGTGCTTTATATTTTTAGTGTAACTGATTAAACTCATCATGAAATAAAATCTATGTCTAAGTTCTTTCCCAAGAACAGTTCTGGTTCTTATGTATCATTATCAAGGGATGTTATCAGAAGTTCTGTGTGCAATAACTGTCTAGTTTTGTTTAGGAACTTTTTATCTAATACCTTTCTAAATGCTGAAATGCTTTTTCCCTTTTTCAAAGAAGTGCATTAATACAGTATATATTTTTAGGCAAGCATGGCAAGCACTGGAAGGTATGTCAGAAAGAGAAGCAAAAGCAGGTTTTATCAATCTGCTGCACAGTATTTGTCCACTCTTCCGTCCTTTTGTTTTGGCACACAAGTGTGACTTAGAAGAAAAAGAAAGAAGAAGGTATTTTTAATATAAATCCACTTTCAGAGTGATGGATGCCATATTTACTTTTTATGTATAAGTAAATATGGCATCCATCACTCTGAAAGTATATTGTGAAAAGTAATTTATCTGTTGAATATTTTTCTACCTGTGGTTACTGAAGGACAATGATTTTTTAAAATTCTATGAGTACCACCCATATAAGTTAACCTGGTTAAAGAAATATCCATTGTTTAAAAAGTGATTTGCGCAGTTCATGAGGTGCATGAACTCTGTAATGGGAATTCTGCATACTTCCTAGAACTGAGCTCAATTATTATTTAATGGTTGATTTAATGCTGCAGTATCCCAAATAGTCTAGAATAGGCATCCCAATGGGGTTTTTGAAATTTCAAAGGATGTCAATGATGATCAAGGAGCTGATAGTCAAAGATACTCTGGCAGTTGATTGGCATAATTATTATTATTAATTACCATTGGTTATCAAATATATATACCATATTTGACGGCATATAAGACGCACCCTTATTTAGATGGCCACACACAAGGGAAAAAAGTTTCAATAGGGTGGTTTCTTTTAGTTCTCACGTTTCGTAAAAGCCAAATAAACAATTATTGAATGCAATTACCTTCACGTATAAGACGCAGGTAACTTTTTTGAGGCCAAATTTAGGAAAAAAAGTATGTCTTATATGCCGTCAAATACGGTATATATACTAATGTTGAAAAATCAATAATTAACAGCTTTTGATATAAATATATATTACGAAAGGAAGAAATCATATAATTAAATACAAGGGGAAAATACAGAAAAATTATTTTAATATGTTTTTAAACTTGATAATCATTTTTTAATATGTAAATTTTTTATACCAAAAAAACTAAAAAAAAAAAAAAAAAAGTAAAAACAGGACCGCAACAAAACACAACACAAAAAATACAAAGAAACCTAGATGTTATATTGTTACATACAAGTTGCTTGTCAGATTTAAAAGATTTTAATGTTTGCTTCCCAGACATTGAAAACTTAAATATGCCAGTATGGTTCATAGAACTGCTGAACTGTGAAATATCTTGAGATTAATATAATGCAAGAAGAGTTGATCAAATTAAAGGAGGATTTTCACATACAAGTCTTATTCAAAACACATATATATGCTAAGTTTTGGAATTTAGAAATCATCCGAGAATAGTATCTCAAAATAAAAGTTATTATCGAACAATATTATTGGCTTTTCCCTCTTCTTATCTAGTATATACAAGTGAATAATATACCACAGGAAACAAACAAACAAAAAAAAAAAAAGTTGAATATTTTTGAGTAAGGGGATTTAAGAATTAAGGTGAGCAATTTTATGCCAAATATTAAAAACTTGTATCAATACATCAAGTGCAGCCGTTGCATTAATTAAAATCAAATAAATGTGCATTTTTAATTGTTAAATTTTATTTCTGAATGCAGGTTTATATTTGTAAAATTAAAAATAGTAATAATATAATACAAAAAGCAGTAAAACGTAAATCTAATAAATAATTTTTTTCTCAAACCTCATATAAATGTTTTCTCATATTTTTAGTTTATCTTTAAATTATTTATTTGTGATTATTTATACTTTGATTATGTTGTATACTGCATATATTATAGAGAAAAAATTGGGGGGAAGGGATTCAATGAAGATAAGCATTCATTTAAAAGGAGTCAATGCAATAAGAATGTTGATAATTCTCAGTCTAGAACAAGGGGAAAAAATGCGACTTTAAAAGTCGTATCTCCCATTCTACTGGGCAAATTGACGAAATCCGACTTGCGTTTTTCATATCTCAAATGTGTGATTTAAGATATATATTAGATTTATGCATAGCATTGTTCTAACATAGGTATTCTGACACAAAATCAGGCTTTTATTTAAATTACGTACTTATTTTTTTTCCATGTTTGGATTTTATGATTCAAATTATGTCAAATGTTGAGTTTTGTAAAAATCATACAAGTAGTTTTTTAAAAATTATCTCTCAAAATTTTATTTCCTCACTGTTAATTGAGTTTGGTATGTGTTTATTAATATAGCTTTTGTTGTACCTTTTTTTTATTAAACTTATTTGATTCCTTATTTCACAATTTGAAGCTTAGTTTCAATCCAAATAAATTCGAAACTGTTCCCTCATTTATTTTTAGAATTTATTATTTGTTATTTTTATAAATTCTTTAAAAAAAATTTTAATTATATCCTCAAAAATTTTTACCATCATCTTTTATAATAGATTTATTTCTTGGCATACCTGACAAAAATAAGAGTTTGTTATTCAAAATTTCCCAATATATATGTGAATTTATGTCTAGGTGCATTTTGAACTTTGCCATATTTGCTATACATGATAATAATGCCTTGTGTACTTTACACACTTTGTTAAAAATATTTGAAAGAATGAATGATGCACCTTTTTTCTTTTTTCTTTTTTTTTTTTTTTTTTTTTTTTTTTCTTTCCTTCTGATTGTGCACAATTGAAAGGGACAGGAAAGTAGATTACTATAAATTAAAAATTTCACCAAATGAATTATTCATGGTGCAAACTGAGAAAAGTGTGCCAGGATAAATTTTTGAATTTCTCAGTGCATTTCTCTCCATATTTTACAAAATTTAATATATTTATATTTAATAAAATAGGTATTTTGTTTCTTTTCTGTCTGATTTAAGTAGTTTTCATAAATTCTAATCTCTAATTATTCATAGTATGCCTTATAGGCCAGAAAAGACAATACAGTCAAAAGTCTTTAATCCGGACTCGTCGGGACTTCGGCGATTCCACATTATCGGTTTTTCCGGATTATAGACCATCAGTTTAAATCTGGTGAGATGGCATGCAGAAATTATAAAATTAAAAATATGAAACCGTAATTTATGAAATAAAGAGCAATTATGATCTAAAGGATATCAAAATTTACAAAAAAAAGCTTAATATTTATTTCTTTACTTTATTAAACATTTCTTTCAACGCGCACATGTGTAAAGCATACATTACGCATAGTCGAATTTAGAAAATTGCAACCAGAAAACTATTTGACGTGTATTCCTGATATTTATAATGATGAGGAATTTTATTTAAATCATATCAGAGTACATCGAGATGAAATACTACATTTAGTAAGGAATTATAAGCCGAATAAAATAAAAACATCTGCCCTGAAGATAAGGATAGTGCTGACAGATCAACTTCCAGTTCATTGTGCGTCGTGACGATCCCCCCCTTCCTCATAGCAGCGTGAAATTGATAAACAGAGTTCGGAATGGTTAGAGAAATAAATCACCTCTCTGTCACTTTCTTCATGCCTTTATCCATTTTTTGCAGCAGTTCTATTTTTGTTTAATGGACATCAAAACATGCTTTCGCTTTCGCAGATTCTTTGGCAGCTCCGGCATCAGAAATTCCATTTGACGTAATCGAAAGTTCAAGCTTACTTTTATAAAATTGCTCTAACAGTCTGCAAAAAATAATAAGTCAGATCCAATTTGAAGATTAAGGAACAACACAATCTGCAACATTAATTGAAATAGATAATTAGATAGTTTTAGCTTAGCTTATACTGTCTGTTATACATTAAACGCGCATGCATAAATGTATTATTTGCATGCGTCAACGCATTATGCATTGACGCATGCAAATGCAATTGACGCATGCAAATGTAATTGACGCATGCAAATGCGTTGACGCAGAAAGTTTGTAGCTTTGAGATCCAGATTATAGATCATTTCGGATCATGGGTGTCCGGATTAACAACTTTTGACTGTATATTCATTTACTCACTTTCGAAATGTTCTTACCTTCATTTAAAAATTTCATAAATCTATTCTGAGCATGTTTTGAGTAAATTTCTGAAATTCTAATTCTGAAAATGTTAATTTGAAATAATCTTGACGCATGCAAATGTGTTGACGCAGAAAGTTTTGTAGCTTTGAGGTCCAGATTATAGATCATTTTCGGATTATGGGTGTCCGGATTAACAACTTTTGACTGTATATTCATTTACTCACTTTCCAAATGTTCTTTACCTTCATTTAAAAATTTCATAAATCTATTCTGAGCATGTTTTGAGTAAATTTCTGAAATTCTAATTCTGAAAATGTTAATTTGAAATAATCTAAGAATTAATGATTAAAAAAATGAAAAATTACACTATTTCTTTTGACTGGTGATTTGGAAGCTTTTGTTTATATACATATATATGTATTTTTCTCAAATGTTAAGGAAGGAAGAAGAGGAAAGGAAAAGAATAGAAGAAGAGGAAGAGGCAAGACAGAAGCTAGAAGAAGAAAGGTTGCGTTTGGAGGAGGAACAGCTTTTAAAAGAAGAGAGAGAGAGACAAAGACAGTCCCACCAAAAGTAAGCAGTTAATTTTCATCTTTCATTTAAAACTCTAAGTTATTTTTCTTTCTTTCTTATTTTACTCATTTAAAATTTTTTGATTATTATTATGCTGCTCTAGCTTCTTCCTTCTACCTCTGTAAAAGTTTTCTATATAGAATACTGACATTGATCTTTGAAAAGTAACATTCCTTTCTACTCATAGCTAAAATTGCATATCTTCACCTAGAAATTTTAGCTAAAATTATAGATTTTTAATACATGACTTCAGTACTGAAACATATTGATTGTCAAAATGCATCCATTATTTGACATCACTTTTAAGTTAAAATGTTAAATTAATTTCAAGGCAATTTTGAGTTGTTAAAATTTTTGGGCTAAAAAATACGAAGATATTCGAAAGCAAAAATGAGTAGAAAATAACGCTAATTATATCAGTTAATAAAATATTAAACTAATATAGTTAGCTAATAAAGGTCATTAATTAATTAATCTCTTTTATTAAATTTTATTTTTATTTTTCACGCAAAATGTAGTCTGAAAAAGATAAAAAAAAAAAAGGAAGATGAATAGCTGCATGCGGTTACCTCTATTAAAATTGTTTAATTAATTTCAGATAATAAAATTCTGTCAACTGCTGTAAGTAGCATTAGATTTTACGCATTTTCAGTTTCTGAATTTTTCAGAAAAAATTTATTAGTTTATTTAAAAGTACAAAAAATTCTGAAAGAATTCAAATTTTATATTACACCCAAAAGGACCTTTTTTAATGTTTTTTTGTGTTACCTGTTAAAAACAGCATATATTTAGAACTTCCGATGCACAGTCTCACGCGCTAGACATAATTTTTTCCCCCGGTGCAGTATTGCCATTGCTCGCTTTGAAATCGTTCAGTTTCTTAATCAAAAACTCATAAATGCTTTACAAATATGAAATAGATAATGAAACAAATTGCAAATTCCAAATTTGTGCTTCCACATGCCCATATTCTAGTGGAGACGTACGTTATTCAAAATTTGATGGCTCTATACGTACCGTTGTTTTATCACAATGCGAAAAACATACATACATTTATGCATTTTCTTCATTACTTAATTTCTTTAAACATAATGCAGGGTGATAATATTTGGTGGCAACAACTAGAAAAGTGAAACGCCACAAATGCCAAAACGAAATAATAGCCCTTCTGGGCCAACACCCCCCTTTGGGCTAAAAATACTCCTCTTCCCTTCTTTGTCTCACAAATCATTATACAAATATAGATTTGCAACTTTTAAAAAATTGAAAAACACATTTCTGCGATGTTATCGTCATATAGTAATTTGTAGGTGCTTTATTTCTTACCACAGTACTTTCGGCTATGATGTTTTTAAACTGCTTAAGTTTTTGATTAGCTTTATTTCCGACAACGTAGTTTTAGAATTGCGATGTTTCTTCATTTCTTTATATTCTCTGTCAGTGTTTTGTATAACGACGTTGCCGCCCTTGCGTAATTTTCTCCAACACGTTTTCGTCCGAGATGTTTTCTCCTGTAACCGCTTCTACCTCTGTTGCTTCTAAGAAGCTGCTATGCTGTTTAATTCCTAACGCAGCAATATCAAAAATGTAAATTCTGGAAATAGGCGTGATTAAAGTGTCTGTAACACACTAATCACGTCATTGTGACCATAAATGTCAATTGAAATAAAAATGAATAGTTAATCTGCCTCGCCTGCCAACTTTGCTGTTTAATGTGGTTCAATATCTCCACACCTAGTTATCAACTTTTGTACATCATTACATCTAAGTCTGTTTCATTAAATGTACACATAATGAATTGAATGATTTTGAGTTACATCAATTATATAAATTATTAAAATGATGAAATAGCAATTTTAGTTATTAAATAATCGCTTATTGCTTGAGTGAATTATTGTGAGAAGAAATGGACTGATTAAATGCAAATGATGTGTGAGGTATTTTCTCCCTTGTTTCTGCATGCCTTTACGGTGTAAGGGTTAGCACACTCGGCGCGCATTCGAGAGGTCTAGGTTTGAGTTCCGGCGAGGGCATTCCTTATTTTTCTTGCATCCTGCTTCCCCCCCCCAAAAAAGGAACCTATAGATAAAAAAAAAGATCGTACTGTTAACCGAAAAGCAACACTCTGAGAAATTATTATGAGATTGGGTCGAAAATAAAGACACTGTGGATTGGCAACATTTCTCAAGGCGCG